ATGCTGCCAGACCTGCTGCGCTTTTCCAGCAACTTTGTTTTTGTTCCTGATTTACAGCATCTGCAGTTCTTTCGGTTTTTATTAAACAAGACAATAAGTATTGTTTCATAGACATGAATGCAATGTACATAAAGCAATCTAAAGAAAAGGTAGTGGTTGCATTGATCAGGGCACCAGTGTTCAGTATTGTGTTGTGCTGACTCAGCGTTTCAATTCAAGCTTGGCAATGACAGCTCTGTGAACCTCATCTGGACCATCAGCCAGTCGCAGAGCACGTGCCCAGCCAAAAAACTGAGCCAATGGGTAGTCACTGCTGAGCCCGGCTGCTCCAAATGCCTAAAAAGCATAGAAATAAAATGTCAGCAACACTGAATTGGAAAATAATGCTTAGGAATACATGAAATATTCTGCAAAGTTATCTCTAATGTTATCCTAAAAGATTACATGATCAAAGGTGTTTACAATTGATTGTGATCAACAGGAGTCCATAAGCTAACATAACTGCAACATTATAAAGAGGGTGGAATACTGGATACATCTAATATTACCCCTCTCTCAATATGCCAACACCAATGTTGCAAGGCACATAATCCAGCAACTCAATGACTTCAAAACACAAAATCAACTCTCATGGTTCAGCGTGTCAGATGGGGACTGGAGCTTAAATGGCCAGCCTTTGGACCATACTACTATAATACTGGAATGTAAATTCCTAACTTCATGATTATGGAGAATAATTTCTTAGGAATTACTGAGTTCCTTCAACATATAATGATGGGCTAAAGTTGATCCATCACTCTCTCAAACACTACATTTCAGGCAAATGTCTTGTACAATAGAAATAAAATTATTGGGAGAGGCTGACATATTGTAGCAACTAATTTTGTATACAGGTGTAGGGATGCAGTGACTGCTTAAAATAAATTATTACACTTTCACCATACTGGCTTTTATCTGGAATCATTTATAATTTAGCGGTAATTTACATCAGCAGAATAAAAACAAAAGCTATGTAATTTACTCCAAGAGATAAATCAACTTTTTTTGTGAGGCTGTGCATTTTGGTGAAAGAAGGCATTTGTTTGAATAGAGTCACAAGTTTATCTTTTTGTTGATATATGCATTAGTCACTCTCACCTGGATTGCACGATCAATGACATGCAAAGCCATGCTTGGCGCCACTAATTTAATCATCGAGATCTCAGAGGCTGCTTCCTGCAAATACAAATGATTAAATCTCATAAAATACTGCAGTGAGCATGAACCAGGGATAAGAGATTGGATGCAATACATAATGGAGGCAGTACAAAACAGAATTAGTTTGATAGTTAATAGAGTGTATTAAGAAGCAGCAAAACCTCAGAACTGGGAGCTTCATGGTTACAGTTCTATAAAAGATTATTTGGTCACTCATGTCACTACTTGTGGGCAAAGATGCAAAATAAATTCGAAGCTATCTTGTGGCATGACTGACAGTAAGTTGGAGGTGAAGCTCTCTTATAATGACATGAGCATCATATTATTTAGTAATAGATCACATCATGTATTAGATCTCATGTGACCTTGCTCATTAGCATCTGGAACAAAGGCTGGAAATGGTTGAAGCTGATGCCAGTTGGAAATTATAAATCAACAGAATACAATTCTAGTGACAATGCGCAATCCAGCAAGATTCAACACTCCACATCCAAAGGATAGGAGGATCTTTTATTCATATAATTTTTAAAAGCCATAACTGGGAGATTGTATATATGTGTACACAGCATCAGAATGATTGGCAGTAATCCTGAATAATCTGCACAAGTGATGGAAGGTTTCATCAACAGTGCTTTCAAACAGCTCCTACTCAGCAATAAACTGCTCACTGACTCTGGGGCCATTCAACTCCTGACCTCATAACAACTTTGGTTCTAACATGGACAAAAGAGCTTAGTTCCAGAGGTGAAGTGAGAGTGACAGCCTTTGACATCAAGACCACATTCATCCATAAGTGGCATCAAGCAGCCTCTCCCTTAGTGCTATGTAGAATTGAAAGTGGCCATCTTGAAAACCTTGGAACTGAAACTGCCATAAATGTTCCCAGTCATAGATTACAAAACAAAATGGATATAACGAGAATTTCACCACAATAGCAAACACACTTCACTTCACATTAGTTATGTCGATTTCACATCACAATGCTTCTATGATTTTACAAAAGTACTGTGGCAGTCTGACTTGATGGCACCATGGTGCAATGGAAGTTTACACGAATATTTACCTTGTCACTCACTGTATCCATGAGATGGGCAGCTTTCAGCACGAGCAACCGTGCCTGTTCAATTTCTATCCGGGAGTTAGCAATGTCTGTCATGATAGTGCCCTGTTCAGCTAATGGTCTTCCAAAAGCCACTCGTGTTTTTACCTATGTGCAGTGGGTGGGAAGTGGAAACGTGAGTTAGATCCCACATTACATTATTATATCCCCTTTATAATAAAGCAGCTTATGGACACCTAATGATTAAGGCCAGGGATGTCTCAGCTTTTTCTCTTTGTGGTCTGCTTAGAACATAGAACAGTACAGCACAGTACAGGCCCTTTGGCCCACGATGTTGTGCCGACCCATTATCCTACTAAGATCAAACTACCCTGCATACCCTACATTTTACAATCCTCCATGTGCCTATCCAAGAGTCGCTTAAAAGTCTCTTAAGTGTCTGACTCCACTACCACTGCCGGCAGTGCATTCCACACGCCCACCACTCTCTGTGTGAAGAACCTACTTCTGACATCTCCCCTATACCTTCCTCCAATCACCTTAAAATTAAGCCCCCTTGTAATAGTCATTTCCGCCCTGGGAAAAAGTCTCTGACTATCCACTCTATCTATGCCTCTCATCATCTTGTAAACCTCTATCAAGTCACCTCTCATCCTTCTTCGCTCCAATGAAAAAAGCCCTAGCTCCCTCAACCTTTCCTCATGAGACCTGCCCTCCAGTCCAGGCAGCATCCTGGTAAGTCTCCTCTGCACTCTCTCCAAAGCTTCCACATCTTTCCTACAATGAGGTGACCAGAACTGAACACAATATTCCAAGTGTGGTCTAACCAGAGTTTTATAGAGCTGCAGCATAACCTCATGGCTCTTAAACTCATTTCCCCTGCCAATGAAAGCCAATACACCATACGTCTTCTTTACAAGCCTATCAATGTGGGTAGCAACTTTGAGGGATCTATGGACGTGGACCCCAAGATCCCTCTGTTCCTCCACACTGCTGGGAATCCTGCCATTAACCCTGTAAAAGGGTAAAATTGAAGGAGAACTTGCATGTGGTGTTGTTTCCATGTGCCTGCTGCCTTTGCCCTATTGAGCCTTATGAGCCACATACAAAAGATATATTGATGTTCCTATTAATTTGCAGGCATCTCAAATTGTTGACACTAAAACAATGTTGTTGTTTTCATTTACTGTTTATTTATTGAGGCTACAATACTGAAAACCATGTACTGTAGCAGAGCTTGTTGGTCACATACAGTTTAAGGGCTGTAATTGGGACAGCCACCTGGGGTTTGGCGGATCTAAAATTAGCCAGATATCCACTGACAGCCAAAATAAACCCTTCAATTCCCCAACTTCTCATACCCCATATTTAAGGCAGGATCACTCAAGCTAACCTTGCAAAACATTAACAAAAAAGGAAAAAAAAAAGTAGATGCTGGAAATTTGAAACGTATATTGAAATACTATAATCAGTCAGCAGATAAGGCAGCATCTGCAGATTATCAGAGATAGTAGGAACTGCAGATGCTGGAGAATCCGAGACAACAAGGTGCAGGGCTGGATGAACACAGCAGGCTAAGCAGCATCATAGGAGCAGAGAGGCTGACGTTTCGGGCCTAGACCCTTCATCAGAAAAGGGGGAGGGGAAGGGGGTTTTGAAATAAATAGGGAGAGAGTGGGAGGCGGATAGAAGAGGGATAGAGGAGAGGATAGGTGGAGAGGAAACAAACAGGTCAAAGAGGCGGGGATGGAGCCAGTAAAGGTGAGTGTAGGTAGGGAGTTAGGAAGGGGATAGGTCAGTCCAGGGATGATCTGGTTCCGTAGGCAGGTGCTAAGGAAGGTGATGTGGCTGTAGTACCTGGTTTGCTTCAGGACGTGGTCGAGCAGTTTCAGGGCCGAAGAGATTACGAGAGAGTTGCAGTGGGAGAGAGATCCCTTGAGGTTTGTCCGGAGGGAGGAGGGTAACTTCTTCAGGTTAGGCATCCTTAGAAGAGGCTTCGCAGTGGGGTTAAAATTGAATCAGAGATAGTAGGAACTGCAGATGCTGGAGAATCCGAGACAACAAGGTGCAGGGCTGGATGAACACAGCAGGCCAAGCAGCATCATAGGAGCAGAGAGGCTGACGTTTCGGGCCTAGACCCTTCATCAGAAAAGGGGGAGGGGATCCATCCCCGCCTCTTCAACCTGTTTGTTTCCTCTCCACCTATCCTCTCCTCTATCCCTCTTCTTTCCGCCTCCCACTCTCTCCCTATTTATTTCAAAACCCCCTTCCCCTCCCCCTTTTCTGATGAAGGGTCTAGGCCCGAAACGTCAGCCTCTCTGCTCCTATGATGCTGCTTGGCCTGCTGTGTTCATCCAGCCCTGCACCTTGTTGTCTGCAGATTATCAGATTATAGTTCAAAACTTGGATCTGGTCCCTTCTTCAAATCTGCAAATTAATGAGACGGTATTCCTGTTAGAAGATTGCACTCATGATGAGGAGAATTCTTATCAGATTGTTGGCTCCAATTACAATGAATGAATGAATTAGGTTTATTGTCACGTACTCACATGAGCACAGTGAAAAGTTAACAAGTAGCCACTTATGGCGCCATCTCAGGCACAAAGGTACCTACGTACAGTTTCTCGAGTACAAATTCCAACGAAAAAATGTTAGAAAAATAAAGAAATAAAAAGTCCAGCATTACAGACCTTCCAAAGCACAAAATCAGAGTAATAAATTAGAAAATAAAGAAATAAAAAGTCCAGCATAACAGTCCTTCCATGACAATATAATGAAAGAAATTTAAAAAAAAAAGGAGAATTTAAGACAACATCCACTTAGTCCATTTCATGGCTCTAGGCTCAAGGTCCTGACCCCACCATTGGAATCCCAGGCTGAACCCACCACAATGCCTAAGGAAGAGCCATATGGAGTCACCACAAGGAAATCTAGATTGATGCTGACAAAAACAGCCGCTGAACGGATTTCAAGCCACTGCAGAAAGGACTTCCAGGCTGTTGCCAAAAGAACTCCCAAGCTGGACCAGACCAACCATGCCACCACAAAGGCAGTGCAGAAGCCTCAAGGAAACCCGGGCAATTCGAATCCCGGGTTCCACAATTGCACACTTCACCAGTTTGATTGTAGAATGAGGAAAACAATACAAGTAAATATTCCATTCTCCTAATCCTACAACTGAGGAAGATAATTTGCCTAAAAAAGGGAGTTCTATTTTTATAAGTATGCATGGAAGGTATGCAGCCAGTGAGAATTATCAGAATTAAAAATAGTAAAGATCATTTGCCAGCAATTCAATATTGGGAGGCAGAACCTGATGCCTGACACATCCTGGTGGAAACTAAAGACTGCCAATGGTAATTTGAAATCAGGAAATTGTGGAACGAAGATGGCTTTTGGACTTTGGGAAACAGCTTGTGGTAAAAGGGGAAACAGAATCAGACTAAACAAGCTTTTGTTTGCTTGTGAGGCCAGGCCTGGAGGGTACTTGCAGGCTAATTCTTGATTAAAAGGCTTCCCAAAGACGCAGCACTCCGGGAGGAGCATTGTGTTTAAACTGGTAACAGAAGTTGGCTATTAACATGGTTGGTACCTGGAAATTGGTTCCAGTAAGTCTGGAAGAGACCCTATATTCAAACAGATGGCTGATACTGAATGGTAATTGAGGCCTTGGGAAAAGACAGTCTATCAGGGAGGGACCAGAAGTGTTGTTTTTTCAAACTTTTTTCTGTGGAGAAGAGTCTGGCTGCGATGACGCAGCATGAAGATTTGAAAGCTTCCTGCCTAACCTCCCTTTCTGCCCAAAGAGTAGAACGCCAAATTAGAGTATTACTGCTTTTACCAGACTGAACTGAAAAGGTGACCCTGATGCTTCCAGAGGAGTGAACAATAAGTCCACATTTATACCTGTGAAATAACACATTGTGAAAACGATTTAAGTAATATGGCCAGTTTTGTTATTTTCTTTTACTTATCTCTTAACTGTGTTTGTGTGTCTTTTGTGTGAATGGGGGCTGAAAACATATGTTTCAGGTTTAAAGCATAGACATTAATTAGATTACCTTGCTGTTTAATTTGCTGATTTGGTTCAGTTGTCTGTCTCTGTGTCTTAACACAATGGAATTGCTATTATCACAGCAAATAATAAAGGATACAAGAAACAGACTTGAAAAGAAGGGACACCAATTTATACAAGCTGAGAAGAGGATGTGGATGTGTTTGGGCCATCTTTGGCATGGAGATGTAAAAAGAACACTTGACTGACAACGGGATGGTAAGAATTGCACATGCTGGAGTCAGAGATAACACAGTGTGGAGCTGGAGAAACACAGCAGACCAGGCAGCCTCCTCCAGTGCCACAGTGACGCCACCTGCAAACTGGAGGAGCAGCACCTCATATTCCACCTCGGAAACCTATAGCCCAATGGCCGAAACGTGAATTTTACCAGTTTCAAAATCTCCCCACCCCCGCCCTCACCCCAAGACCAACCCACCCTGTCATCCCTGCCTCTTTGACCTGACACAATCTGTCTATCTTCTCTCACACCTATCCGCCCCGCCCACCTCACTGACCAATCCTCACCACTCCTTACCTGCACTGACCTATCACCATCCCACCTATCTTCCCCAGCCCCCACCCCTCCCCTCTATTTATTTCAGAGCTCCCTTTCCCTCCCCACTTCTGAAGAAGGGTCCCAACTTGAAACGTCAACTTTCCTGCCCCTCTGATGCTGCCTGGCCTGTTGTGTTCCTCCAGCTCCACACAGTGTATCTTATACTTGATTGACAATCCTAGTTCTCTGACCAGGCTAGTAATCTCTGACTGGTTAGGTGTTACCATGACAATGCAGCAGATCTTGTCAGTCCCTTTTTCCTTCCCATGTAAAAGGTGCTATGCAAAAACTCCTTTTACCTACATAAAACTGCGACCTTGAGCAGAATTCATCCATAAATTGAAAGGTCAGGAAACATCAAAATTGCTTCTAAAGAAGTGGCAAAGCTCTATTTAGAGTGCAGAATGTGGAAAAACCTCCATTTGCATGCAAAGGGTGCCAAACCACCACTTTGATTAGGAAATAAAAGCAGGATATTTCCAAATAAGCAGCACAGAGATTCAATATTGCTATTTTGGTAGAATTCAAAGCTTAAAAGAAATTAAACAACAGCATTGCTATTGTACGGAGTTTAAAAGTGTAAAGATATATTAAGGGAATCAACAACATTCATTTAATACGGTTTTAGAGTAAAATAAATTATTTTATTTTCAGAGAATGTTATATTGTTAAAACATCTCTGAAGATCACAATGAGGAATGCAGGACATTTCTCAGATATCAGTAACTAGCAACGTGAGATTGCATTAAACAGTCAGTCAGGGATGTTTTTCAACATCCATATTGGTCCAGATTGAAATGGAGATATTGAGGATCGACTTCACTCAGTGTAAGGTACTCACCCGGTCCTTCATGAGTTGCAATGCTCGATCTGCATAGCCTATGAGTCGCATACAGTGGTGTATCCTTCCCGGTCCAAGCCTTCCTTGGGCAATTTCAAACCCTCGGCCAGGCCCCAATAGAATGTTCTGTTTTGGCACTTGAACATTTTCAAATATAAGTTCGCCGTGCCCTCCTGCGGTAAAATAATAGATGTGTTTTTATGCTCAATCACAACTACAGTGATATCTCTCTGCTCTCACTATTACACTTGTATCATCTCTCTTCTCACTCACAGTCCAGACTATTGCATCATTTCTATTGCTTTCCCATCCCTCCAAGCAAACCAGATCAATTCTTCCTCCCCTCCTGTCCTGGCACCTGGAAAAACTCCCAATGCTTGCTCTCTAGACTAGTCACAGAAAACTTACTCAGAAAACGCTATTATCCGATGACCCTGGTGGGCAGACACAATAGTTCTCAGCTGAGCCATCCAGCTTATTTTCATAGATAGAAGGAAGCCTTGTGTTGCTGTGCCAGCACTTTGAAAACACCACCTCATTATTCCTACTACCTTGCTGTTTCCCATAGACGTGCATCAATTTGCTTTTCAAGTACATATTGTCCAATTGCCCCTTGACAATTAGTATTGATTCTGCTCCCACCACCCTTTTTGGCAAATTGTTACATTTGTTATGATCCCAGCCAATCGTAATATTGGATAAGCCAGATCCCAACGTGAGACCTGCCTTGACAGATCATAAGTTTCATTTCTAATTTTTGTTTATTGTGAGAGACTGAGAGACTGAAGAAAATAACAAGAGGTTGCCAATGTACTTCTAACAAAACAACAAAACAATATACAACATTATACAAGAATGAATGAAACAAACCCATTCCAAACATCAGAACAAAAGATCATCTCTTTTACCCTTAGCAATACTCTTGCAGACATTCAAACCTCAGTGAAGAATCACTCCTATCTCCACATGAAAGCTTCTTGCTCAGCAGAGACAGGTTTTTGCCATCTTTTTGACAAATTTCTGCGCATTTTCTCAAATGTTACTTTAAATTAATGTTTCTCCCTAAAACCTTCAAATAAGGTGCTAAGTCGGTTCACTATGACTACTTAACATTGGTTACTTAAACATTGGTCTTCAACAGCCTTGTTGGATGTTTTTCTTTGTGAAACCTCCGCAGCCTTTGCTTCTAGAGTTTTCTTCTACACAACTTTGGACTTCTCCCCAACTCTAACTGCTTGGAGACTGCTAACCAAAAGCATCTCTACTGTTATGGACCTCTCTTGGAATGAACCTGCTTCTGTCCCATCTCTCTTGGGGTTGTAAAACTCAAGTCAGCAAACACCTTAGCAATTATCTTCCAAAATTCACATGATTCTTCAAAAGTCTGGTTTTAATTCACTGTTCCTGACTTTTCTTTAAAAAAGACCTTTACAGAACTGAAAACTAAAATACATTTTTCATCCAATGTAGAACTTAAGATCCCAGATAATGATATATTATGAACCTTCAGCAGACATTAAAAAATATTTTTCCTGATCTCCCCTGTGCCTTTTATGCTAATTACCTTTTGATCTGTGTTAACCAGTTACAAACCCTCCTGCAGTCAAAACAGTTTGTCCATATTTGCTCTATCAAAATCCTTCATGTGGTTCAAGTTTACAAGTGAAATGTTTCGCAGCAAAGGACTGCTTTATATTCAAGAGAAGACCAATTCTTACAGGCTTCTGTTTTGACTTATAGAGAGATACCAACAATCTAACCTCAGCGTAAAATGACCCCTGGGGTCCCTTCTCCCCATTAATATTGAAAGGAACCACACATGGAAAACAACATTTAAGATATGTGAATTTTATGCTGCCAAGATAACATACATCAGTTCTATAAAGTGGAACATCTCCACATTTCAAGTTCCCAATGTCAGCAACAATGCACATCAGATCAAAGACAAGAGTCATGTAGAGAATTCAAGTCCCTTCCACTTTGTTCCAATCTCACAGTCGCACCTGTTCTGAATCAGTACAACACTTACCCATATTTACACCAGCCAACCTGCGGTCTTGCTGTACAAGACCATAAAGTCTACATTGCATTATAGGCTGCTCAGAGTCTTGGAATATGGAATAATCTTGAATCAAGGTTAAATAAACATACTTGATGGAACTCTTAGCCAATGGATGAAGATAATTTTTAACACTACATTACCCAAGATTACCAGAACCAAACATGTTGCCTTGGGAAGCTTCTAAATGGAAGTTTTTTTCCCAGGGTTATCTCCAAGCCCAAGCCCTGCTCATCTAGACAGATTCCTCAACTGCTTTGACCTTAGACAGGCACTGCTCCGATATTAGCCTGCCTTACCAGGAGGGTCTTCAATCCCAAAAACTGATAGGGGTCGGACAACTTTAATCCCTGGTGTATCCATGGAAACAAGAATCATGGACTGCTGTCTGTGACGATGAGCCTGTGGATCAGTTTTTCCCATAAACACACATAGTTTGCAGCGAGGATCCATTGCACCTGTCAAAACACACAAAGCAGTAATTGGTACAATCATTCCCAAAAAAACAGAGAATCACAGGAGGTTGTCAGAGATAGTATCATATAACAGTGATTTCATGGCTCACAGCAATTCAATTATAACACTCTTATAATTTACTCCCCAGTTCTTGTCATGAAAACACAAAAATACTAAATGAGCTATCAGGAAAAATCAGTGAAACTCCAGCTTAATGTCTACGTCCAAGGAGGACACATTTAAAAAGGTCCTAAAGAAGATTAGTGTTTGACAGAATCTATCACGCAAATTGACAAGCTATGCTAGCATATTACTTCCTAAGTCAGGAGAGCCGTTAAAATCATTGTTTAAAAGTGCAAAGTAAATTTAAAACAGATATTAAGATCTTATTCATTCAAAGAGTAATAAATGCTTGTAAACATCTACTGCGCAGGATAGTAAAGACTGAAATAGAAACTCAAACCATAGCTGCTGGTTATAAATGGACGTCTGGTGTTCTAGGTAAGTATAATGATAAACATGATGGCCTGAATAATCTTTGTTGATTTTTCATATACAGCATGCGATTTTCAAAATTCTTTCATGGGATGAGAGTGTTCCTGGCAAGGTCAGCATTTGTTGCTCCTCTCTAATTCACTTGAGAAGGTGGCAGTAAACTGTTTGAACTGCTGCAGTCCATTGGTGCAGATATACCCCCAGTGTTGGTAAAAACAGAATTCCAGAATTTTGATCCAATGCCAGTGAAGGATCAGTGATATAGCGCCATGTCAGGATGGTGTGTGGTATGGAGGGGATCTTTCAAGTATTGCAGTGGTGTTCCCATGTGCCTGTTGTCCTTGTTCTTATAAATGAAGACCTGAAGTTCAGGGTAGTTGAAAAGGTTACATGTTTGGAAAGAAGCTTGGTGAGCTTTGTTGTACATCTTGTAAATGGTATACGCTGCTGCCACTGCACATGGTGGTGGAGGGAGTGACTGTTTAAGGTATGGTGCTGATCAAAGAGGTTGCTTTCCCTAAATATTATACCTTCCTATAACTCATGTGGCACTAATAATATTACTAGTACATTTGTATGTTTTTTTAAACTAGTTTTCTAAATTTATCACTTCTCAATGATTATAAATTGACTGTCAGATCACAAGTGCTGAGTTTAATGCGAAAAAGTGTGAGGTGATTCACTTTGGAAGGAGTAACAGGAATACAGAGTACTGGGCTAATGGTAAGATTCTTGGTAGTGTGGATGAGCAGAGAGATCTCGGTGTCCACGTGCATAGATCTCTGAAAGTTGCCACCCAGGTTGATAGGGTTGTTAAGAAGGCGTACGGTGTGTTAGATTTTATTGGTAGAGGGATTGAGTTTCGGAGCCATGAGGTCATGTTGCAGCGGTACAAAACTCTGGTGTGGCCGCACTTGGAGTACTGCGTACAGTTCTGGTCGCCGCATTATAGGAAGGATGTGGAAGCATTGGAAAGGGTGCAGAGGAGATTTACCAGGATGTTGCCTGGTATGGAGGGAAGGTCTTATGAGGAAAGGCTGAGGGACTTGAGGCTGTTTTCGTTAGAGAGAAGAAGGTTAAGGGGTGACTTAATAGAGACATACAAGATGATCAGAGGATTAGATCGAGTAGACAGTGAGAGCCTTTTTCCTCAGATGGTGATGGCTAGCACGAGGGGACAAAGCTTTAAATTGAGGGGTGATAGATATAGGACAGATGTCAGAGGTAGGTTCTTTACTCAGAGAGGAGTAAGGGCGTGGAATGCCCTGCTGCAACAGTAGTAGACTCGCCAACTTTAAGGGCATTTAAATGGTCATTGGATAAACATATGGATGATAATGGAATAGTGTAGGTTAGATGGGCTTCAGATTGGTTTCACAGGTCGGCGCAACATCAAGGGCCGAAGAGCCTGTACTGCGCTGTAATGTTCTATGTTCTATGTTCTATGTACTTGTTGCTGCTACTCCTGCCAGGAGACCTGTTATGTTATGTGACTCGAGCAGTAACAAAAAAGATGCAAGCATACCAAAAGGTGCAACATTGAACAGGAAGATTGATACCAAGTGTGACAATAAGATATAAGAATAAAAGCAAACCATTCAACCCTACAGGATACTGTCTTTCAATGAGATCACAGTTGATCTGCTATTTCAACACCATTTTCCTGCAATATCTCATTTTATTTTGATGTAGACATTTATCTACTTCAATTTCGAATGTATTCAATGAGTGGAACTTCACAGCCCTCTGGGGCAGAGCTCCAAAGATTCATCACCCTCTGAGTGAATAAATGCTTCCTCATCTCTGCCCTAAATGGCCTGCCCCTTATTTTGAAACTGTGTATGCTGGTTCTAGACCCCAACCAAGGACAACATTCTTCCTGTATCTACATTGCTGACCCCTGTAAGAATTTTGTATGATTAATGAGATCACCTCTCATTCGTCTAACCTCCAGAGAATATTAGCACAATCAATTTAATCTTGCATCAAAAGGCAATCCCTCAATCCCAAACATTTGTTTGATGAACCTTCATTGCACTCCCTCTATGGTAAGTATGTATTTCCTTAAGCAAGGACTCTAAAACTGTACACAATACTCCAGATGTGGTCTCAGTAAGGCTCTATATAATTACAGTAAGACATCTTTACTCTGAAATGCAAATCTGCTTTAATCTGATAAACTATGATGAAAGACAAGAAGTGAACCTCAAAGCGCATATAACAGGAGGCAGTTTACATAGAATGAACCCAAACAGGCAAATGATTAGAAAGGAGTGAAAGTAGGAGAAACATCTACTGCGGTTATTCAACATCAGTTAAATGCCACAATGGGTACTAAAGGGGATGAATTTTCAGGCAAAAGAGCTTTGTCGCACGCTAATTTTTATTTTATTTCCTAATTCTGATGCAAGAAATAAGCAGTATACTAACCACACCCCAGTCTGGTTATTTTCACCCAGTCACGCTGTGCATCTTTCCTTGATCATTCTTACCTGATGTCCACCATTTGTGACCATTGAGGATAAAACTGTCTCCCACTTCAACAATTGAGGCTTTGATGTTTGTGGCATCTGAAGATGCAACCTGCACTTTGCAAGAACAACAAGGTAATATGGATTAACTGGACACCTCTGAATGTCATTGTTACCCATAGCCTTTTAAAGATACTACAACATTAGCAGTTATTGAAACTTTACCAATGCCAAAAAGTATCTCAGTACCCGGACTTAAAAAAAAATTAAAGTTCCTCTTCCTTGAAGGATGTCGATTATTTATGGGATACAGTTCAAAGGACAGTTCTGCACCACATTTAAAGTGGTTATTTCTCATTTAGAACCACAAACTGTTAGCCAAGTCATTTTCTTTCCTCTCTCAATGTCCACAAATGCAATTTCCAGCAAGGGTTAAAAGATATAGTGATGAAGAATAAGGATTTCCCCTTACCTTGGCCAAAATAGGCCAACTATAGTGCCCTCTCTGATGAGAGAGCTGACTCTGTGCATATCAAAGGCCAAGGCTCATATATGCATATGTTAGTTCTATGGTTCATTTATTAAACGACAGCAAAAGGAAGTTCTCAGACATTAATAACACTTTGACATGCAGGTGTAGGCCTGCTACACATGTGCTTTTAGTAAGATGCATAAAAGAACCCCAATCAGTACATTGGTAAAGTAAGCCTAAAAAGAAAATATCCACCTACTCTCATGGTCGCAATTTTGTTTTTAATTTATTTATTTGTGGGATGTGGACTCACTGGCTGGCCAGCATTTATTGCCCATCCCTAGTTGCCCTTGAAAAGGAGGTGGTGAGCTGCGTTCTTGAACCATTGCAGTCCACATGCTGTAAGTAAACTCACAGTGAATGCCAGGATTTTGACCCAGTGACAGTGAAGGAATGGCAAAGTCAGGGCGATGAATTGCTTGGAGCTGAATTTGTAATTGGTGGCAGGCAAATCACACTCCTGATTTGTGACAGATTTTGGGGTGTCAAGAGACGAGTTACTTGTTGCAGTATTCTTAGCCTCTGACCCACTATTTGTGTTTTTATGTTTAGTTCAGCTGAATTTCTGAATGAGAACCCCAGGATGTTGATAGTGGGTGACTGAGTGATGATAACACCATTGAATGTAAAGGGGCATTGGTTAGATTGTCTGTTACAAAAGATGGTCATTGACTGGCATTTGTGTGGTGTGAATGTTACTTGACATTTGTCAGCTCAAGCCTGGATATTGCCCAGATCTTGTTGTATTTGAACATGGACTGTTTCAGTATCATGAGTCGTAAATGGTGCTGAACTTTGCACAATCAATCATCGGTGAACGTCCCCACTTCTGACCTTATGATGGAGGGAAAGTCATTGATGAAGCAGCTGTAGATGGTTGGGCCCAGGACACTACCCTGCAGAACTCCTGCAGAGATGTCATTTGCTGGATGACTGACATCCAACAACCTCAATCATTTTACTTTGCACTAAGTATGACTCAAATCAGTAGAGTTTGCCCTTGATTCCCACTGATTCCAGTGTTGCTTGGAGTAGTGTGGGTACACACAAACAAATGAATCAAGACCAGCAGCAAACCACTCAGCCCCTAAACCTGCTCTGTCATTCAATAAGATCTTGGCTGATTTGACTGCAACCTAAATTCACACTCCCTATTGTGGATATCCGTTCATCCCCTTGCTTAACAAGAATCCATAATATTGCTACTTTAAAAATATTCTTCTTACAGCACCTTCTCAGGCTAAGAGTTCCAAAGAATTATGAGCCTCTGAGTGAAAAGAATTCACCTCATCTTTGTTTTAATGGGTGACACTTGGTTTGGAAGCACTGACTGCTAGTTCTAGGTTCTCCCATAACAGGAAACATCTTTGCCATATATACACTATCAAGACCCCTCAAGATCTTAAAGGTTTCAATTAAGTCATCTCTTACTCTACTAAACTCCAGATACAGCTTAGCCTGACCAACCTTTCCTCATGAGACAACCACCCTATCCAGGTATTAGTCTAGCAAATCTTCTCTGAATTGTGTCCAAAACATTTACATCCTTCCTTAAAAGTGACCTGTACTGTGCACGGCCCTCCAGATATGTTGTGTAACTAAAGCATAATCTCGCTACTTTTGTATTTAATTTCCCTTGCAAAAAACAATAACATTCAATTAGCTTTCTTAATTACTTGCCGTACTTGCATATTAACCTTCTGTGTTTTATGCACGAGGACATCCAACTCTCCCTGCACCTCACAACTCTGCAATTTTTATTGTTCCTGCCAGAACAGACAATTTCACATTTTTCCACATTATACTCTATTTGCCATATCTTTATTACTTATCTATGTCTTAGCTTATCCACAGGGTGGCACTGTGGATCAGTGGTCAGGCCTGCTGCCTTGCAACTCCAGGAACCTGAGTTTGATTCCAGTCTCGGGCAACTGTGTGGGGTTTGCACATTCTCCCCATGACTGCATAGGTTTCCTCTGGGTACTCCAGTTTCCTCCCACAGTCCAAAGATGTGCAGGTTAGTGGATTGGCCATGGTAAGTTGCCCATAGTATCCAGGGATTGCAGGCTGGGTGGATTATCCATGGTAAATGCAGAGTTACAAATGCAGGATAGGGGATGGGCCTGGGTGGGATGCTCTTTGGAGGGTCGGTGTGAACATGGTGGCCTGCTTCTGCACTGTAGGGACCTTTTTTATGCCCTCTTCACAACTTATGTTCCTTTCTATCTTTGCAGCATCAGCAGATTTGGCAATCAAACCTTTTGTCCCTTCATCCAATTCATTTATACAAGTTGTGAACTGTTCGGGTCCCTGTACCGATCCCTGTGGCACACCACTCATTACTCTTGCCAGCCTGAAAAAGGTCCATTTGTATCTATTTTCTCTTTCCTGTTAGCTAGTTAATCTTCTATCCATGCCAATATGTTACTCCCCACACTATGAACTTTTATTTTCCTCAATAGCCTTTGATGGGGCACCTTATCAAACGCCTTCTTGAAATCCAAAGAACTCCAACAGACTGGTCAAACATGATTTCCCTTTCACAAATCCACATTGATAAATAACTTTAGTAAAGGCAGAGTCAAAGTGCCCTACTATAACTCCTTTTATAAATGGCTTCTAACATTTTCCCTATGACAGTTCTTAAGCTAACTAGCTGCTGTTTCCTCCTTTCTGTCTCGCCCCCTTTTTCAATAAAGGAGTTCCATTTACTATTTTCCAAACTAATGGAATCAAGTGAGTTTTGGAAAATTAAAACCAATGCATCAACCATCTCACTAGCAACTTAAGATCTGTGAATAAAGTCCATCAGGACCGGCCAATTATCATCCCACAATTCTGACAATTTATTCAGTACCACTTCTCTGGAGATTGAGATTTTCCTGAGATCCACCCTAACTCCCACTTCCTGATTCATCACTGCTTCTGAAATGTTACTTGTATCCTCTACAGTGAAGACTGATGGAAAATACCTGTTCAAATATATGCGATTTCCTTATTTTCCATTACTAATTTTCCAGTCTCATTCTCTTGGGTCTAAAATTACATGTAACTCATTCAGATAATAATGTCCTAGACGTTGAATCTATCTCCCAGTATTGGTACAGCTAAGCCCGCGTTTTGAATTCAGCTACATAAGGAGGACCAGAAGGATTCAAGTAATGTCAATATATCTGCTAATGTATTTTCCATCTTAATGAAATTATTATCCTTAAAAGTAAAAAAAAATATTTTAGGGTTTCACTGACAATGTTTTAAATGGGGGCTTGAAAGTCAGAATATCCGTTTTACCTGGGGCTCAGTCATGGCAAAACATGACCTAATTTTCCCTTCTAATAATGGTAGAAGCCACTGCTCCTTCTGTGCTTCAGTCCCATATTTCAATAGGATCTCCATGTTCCCTGTATCTGGTGCAGAACAGTTGAAAACCTGTAAAACAGGGGACTTGGAGTGACATATCATAAACTCATGGAATAAATTTAAATAGGCCATGCCAGGAAAAGCAAACATATTCCTTATAACAAATATTCACAAATAATTATAGTACCTCAGGAGCATGCAGAGACCTCCCCATGACCTCACAAAGGTGGGCATATTCCAGATTTGTCAATCCAGCTCCATATTTAATCTCAGGATCAGTTTTCAATGGTAAAAACAGGTTCCAAAGACCATTCGCCTTAGCTTCACTCTGAAAGTGCAAAATATAATCTTTAGCTTAGTCACAATCTACAGTAAACATTTTCAAGTCATTTTCATTCAAATGTATCATCTTCCACCACACACAATGATGAACCACCAGTCCTCTGAACAAGATAATATCTGCTATCAAACTAGAGGTGGAATGACTTGCTGGGAATGTCTAACCCAGGCAGCTGCTAGTTGTTTATGACATTTGCATTTGAGAGAATGTAAAATTTGATATGAAAATACTAACTATAATGATTAAAATGTTAAATGGTGAAATAATTTTATGACTATAATCTCCTCACCCCATAAACTGCAAAACACACACCAATTTTGATTCCTCCAGTTTCTATTTGACTCCCACCACATATAAACTTTAAGTCCCAGATTCTACTGCCAACGTTCAAACTCTGCTACACACATTCTATCATGTTCATCTTGCACTCCCATCTTTACTGACTTCTGGTGGCTTGTTAGCCTCAATACACAAACTTCAAAAATGTAATCCTTGATTACAAATCCCCTCACATTTATGTTCCACTCTACCTCTGTAAACTTCCTTAGTCCTGTGTTCAGCCAATTCCTTCCAACTCAGTTAGAATTTTGACCCATTCCTCATCTATCAGAGATTTCTGCCTAAAGCTTTCAACTTTATTAGATTTCCCCTCATCTTCAATTCTCAAGTCTCATGTTTCAACAAACATTTCTGACATCTATGACAAAAGGTGTGTAATTAATATATTATAATTTTTTAAGAATGTGGTTTAAAACTACAAAACTACTCCTGGAGGCTTATTAAAAGTTTGTTTATATTGTGGGGTTTTATGAGCAGAAGAGAGAAGGTATTGAAATATTTTAGGTTTATTTCAAATTAGAATAATCAGGATTGATTTTGGCTTAAAATCCCAGAGATGGAAAAGCTTCTGTTCAGTTTGAAGGACACATGTCTGAGGTCAGATATAAGTATAGCCTTTCCTAGAAGGAAAGAGTTTGTTCAAACCATTTAAGGGAACAAATTATCTCAGTGTAAGGATCTCAGTTGTGTGAGTCAAAGAAAAACGCTTCGCAGCTCACAGGACCAGAAATAAGCAGTTAAATCAACCTACAGTTGTGATGGAGAAGGAATATATTTCTCTATTTTGATTAACTGTAAAGTAATGGTGTTGGGAGTAGATCAGACTTTGTTTTGCCGAGTGCTTGAAACCTTTTAATCTGTGTTGTGTAAAGATAGATTAATTTGTTTTATTTTCCATTCTTTCTGTTGCACAATAAACTTTTGTTTTATGCTTATGTTTCAGTGAAAGACTGTCACATTAAGTTGAAAAAACTCCATCAGGCCAGATTTCATTCTAGGATCTAACGCATTCAGTGGCAACAGATGGGATCACTGCACACCTTTCAAAAATTGTTCTGTTTCCACTGTTATATTTGCATCTATTTCGATGTTCATTGCCTCTTTCCTTTTATGAAGAACATTGCTGATACACGAGAATTTTGTATTACAATTTTTTTTAAATTTCCCCTAATTTTTTTGGCATTTCTGCACAGCTATGAGCCAATCTACTAACATCTATGGTAAGTGAACAGCTCCAACAAGCAGTATCTGAGCCTGGTGTTGATTGCTGCCACATAATAGGTTGTGTGAAAGCTGAAGATCAGCCCAGATTCCAATCTGCAGAATGTTGAGTGAAAGATTTCCCTGTTGTACTGAACGGAGCACCCGCTGGCTGTACATGAAAACGGAAAAGGTAATTAAACATTCATTATTTTCTTCAGAATTTATTTTCCAAAATTGCTCCAAATTGGAAAATCAGTTATGAAACCACCATATTTTCCTTTAGCTACAACCCAAAATATCAGATTTTGTAAAAGAAAATATCTCCAACTCTCTCTTTTCTGCTTTAACCCAGGTTCAGAACAGTTGCTCCTTAACATTTCTTCTAAAAATTAATCCTAGAGGTCTGACCTGGTCTAAATTATTTCAGAATGTAGAGATTCTGAATTGGCTTAAGTGTTTAGTTTGTGGCGACAATTAAAATGCACCCGAGATGTCCTTTATAGCAGTTAAACATACTTTCAGTTTCTCCATTCTAGGATTTGGAATCCATCGATTTTCATCCCTCTGGTAGTCCATTAGTTCCTCTTCCAGGGGATAGATGTGTTTATCCATGAACATAGTCAGTTGATGGTACAACTCTTGGATGCGAGGAGATAGCCCTTCAGGTGAGACAATTAAATGTCCTTTAGGGACTGATACCAAATGTCTGCAATGGTTATTAAGTGAAAAGGTATATAGGAAGTTTGTTGCTGATGATCTCTGTCCGTTCCATGTCGAGTACTTTCTCACTGGAGGGTTTGGATTTCTAGTAGGGATTGATTTGAATTTTCTGAATCCTTCTCTTATTGCAAACATCCAGGACAACTCAGCCGTGTTCTCTGCAAGTTTTCCAGCTGTTTCAGCTTTAGCTGAACTTGCCTGACCTGAACAGAACATTACAAAAAGAAAGATGAGATTATGGAAATGTGCACATCCAGTGATGTGTGCAATGATGACAAAGATTCTAATTTGGATATCATAGAGTTGATTGAATATTTCACTATAGGACAAGCTTTTAATAGAATAAATATATAAGGGCTAGTAATATATCACCATAATATTTATTAGATACTACATTGCATTATATTAAGAAACTGTGCTGAAAACATTCAGAAACAGAAGATCATGTTCATTGTACTGCTTCATTGAAGATAGATAACTACCAACAGTGTTAGCTTGACTCAATGTTAACCCTCTCAACTGAATTTGAAGTTCCAAATTCAGCCTCTTGGACTAGAACATAGAGGCTAAGTTGATGGTCAGGTGCTGCAATAAACTGTTCTTAATGACTTTACCATGTGCAAAATGATTGTTGTTTTGTGACAAACATAACAATGTATAACTTTAATAGTAAAGTATTGATTATAAAGTGCTTTAGAATGTTGTGAAAACACTTTTTTAAAAAAATGAGAGCCAGAATAGAAAGTGTTGTTCTATCTTGCCTTCTCAAACCAATATTTATTTACTGATACCTTGAAAGGGCAAAATGTCACAGCCAGGAAATTTAAGCTGATTGGCTCGGCTTTAGTTGTCGGAAGGATCATTTACAGAGAAGTGGCCATTACAAACTTGCAATATGGTTGGTGGAAAAGACCATACCTTAAAAACTGGAATTCGTCGAGCAGGTTACTAGATTGCTGGAAGAAAGGCAAGTAGACATTGTACATTTGGATTTTCAACAGTTACAATTTCAACAATTACGATCACAATAGAATGTAATGGTACTGTGGGATTGGACAGCAGATCTAGGCTGGATTGGAAAAAAATTATCATTAATAGTAGAAGTTCCACATGGAAACTGCTTACAGATGGAATCTTACAAAGGTTGTGCATTGGCCTTTAACATTTCACAATTCATATCAATGATTTAAATGGAGCATTGGGAATACTGTTGGTAAGCGTACAGGTGCCACACAATCCGTGCTAGTGATAGACACCTTGAGGCGAAAATACGGTTACAATCTGACCTAGATATGATGGAGGAAAGGGCTGGGATCTGGCAGCTGACAATTAATGGAGATTCCGGAAACAATAATGACAAACACAGCCCGTGCCCGTCAAAGTCCTCCTTACCAATAGCTGGGATTTAGTGCTGAAACTGGGAGAGCTGTCTTGGAGAATGGTCAAGCAACAGCCTGAATGATCATACATACTAAATCATAACTTAAAGTCTCAGATAATACAATCACTATCCTTGGGTATGGCCTGTCCAACTAGCAACATAGACCCAGCAGAGGTGGGAGCACAGTGCTATACAATTAAATGATAGGTGTCCTTAACATTGACTTCTCAACAAGTCTCCTCCTCAGCTAATGTGTCAGTACCCCTCCACATTGAACACCACTTGGAGGAAGCACTGAAGGAGGCAAGACAGCAAGATATACTCTGGGTGGGGAATATAATGTCAATCATCGTGGTTCAGTGGCACCACTACTGACTGAACTGATTGGGTATTAAAGGACATTGCAGCTAGACTGGTTCTGTGACAGGTAGTAATGGAACCAACAAGAAAGAAAAACATACTTGATTTCATCCTCACCAATGTGCCTGCCACAGATGCATCTGTTCATGACAGTATTAGTAGGAATAAACAAGGTTCTACAAATATCCCTATCCTCAATTATGAGGAGCCCCAGCACATCAGTGCAAAAGATAAGGTTGAAACAATGCAATAATTCCCACCATGGTCATCTCTTCCAGCTGTGCTGGACTTGTTTCATTAGTTAGTGTGGTTTCTTCCTAGTGATAAAAGACATTCAGATTTAGCATCTGTTTATGAAGTTATTTTCGGCCTTTAGTCTTCCCAGGCCAGTAAATAATTTCAGAAAATCCTCTTTGAAGGCATGCTGATCAACTTTGTCCACTTTCCTGATAAGATTAATATCTATTCAATATTTTTTACTTAAATGAGAGGATTCATGATTCTGCATATCATACATCGTTTGTAATACATACTTTTCCTCATACTGAAATGTTGCCTGTACTTTTCTCTTGACTTTTAATTCGATCCCTCCTGGATTGTTTAACTGAGTTTTTATTGGCTGCAGGCAGTGCATTGATAACTACGGTTTGTTGTCCGATAAAACAGTTACACTTGCTTTAGCATCCAGCTTAATGTTGGTAGTATGTTCCTTGAAATATCTGCATTTCAGAATGCATGACTGGAGTCACTGAGCTCACCAAGGAAATAGTTTTATTCCTCATCTGGCAGAGATTCTTCGACTTCATGTATTGCCTTTTACGTGTGAAGAGATTTTCTTTGGAGCTATGAAGGTAGAGGAATTTTACTTCAACACATCTTCTGAAGATGGCTAATTTTCCTGTAGAGAAAGCATTCTATGATTGCAGGACACTGTGCCTCTGGGTCTTTTTGGCTCCACTGGCAGGATTTTATAGCATCCTGCACTTTCTGTCCTAATGGTAGCTTCTTTTCTGATGCTTCATTTACAGTCCTGTGCTTAAGGAACTAGATGGTCATTGGAGGTTACCTGAACCAAGGTTTTTCTTCACCTCTCAGCATAGCTGTATTCTGTTATGGATCTGTTTGTGTCACCAGTATTTTTTCTAAGACGAGAGTTTCCTTAAATTGCTATAAATTTGATAGGTATTGATCAACATTACTGACTACAATGAGGTCTCATTAATTCTGCTTTTAGGTCTCCACACTTTTGTCCATTAACCAGCCTATAAGGCCATTAATGAAAGCATTCACTGATACACCTGGATTCTGGGCCCTTTTTGAGTTTGGCCCTTTCCAGAACCTTATTGCTCTTCAAGCTAAAATTATTGTCAAGAACTTTTAAGACTTCGAATGTATCTGATGTCTCATTGATGCTTTGTCTTGCAAAAACATTGTCTGCTACTGTTCCTATAGACGGACTCACTGGCCAATCCTGAAGCAATTCTGTATCACAAAAATCTTTTGCTCCAAAGTGTCCAGTCTGAGTTTGATTTGGCTGCCTTCCATGTGGCTAAACCTTTCAAGTAGTGCAAACTCACCTCGGCTCCTTCTACAACACCTTCCAAACCTGCAAACTCTACCGCCTAGAAGGGCAAAAGCAGCAGATGCATAGGAACATCACCACCTGCAAGCCAAACACAATCCTAACTGGGAATTATATCATCGCTCTTTCACTGTCACGGCATCAAATCTTAGAACTCCTTTCCCAACAGCACTGTGGGTGTTTCTATATCCCATGCACTGTAGCAGTTCAAGAAGGCAGATCACCACTACCTTCTCAAGAACAATTAGAGATGGGTAATAAATACTAGCCAAGCCAGAGATGCCCACATCACATGAATGATTTTTTTTTAATCCATTGTTTTTTTGTGTAGATTACTTAAGTTTTACATTTCTCTTCCAGTATTGGAAGTTTTCCCACATTGCTCAGCCTTATACCAACTCCCAGTGCAGAGTTATCCTGAAGAATCAATCAGCTGGACTAGACATTAATTTCTTAAACTTTACAAAACTCCTGAAAAAGCAAATCAATTAATTTATTTCAATAATTTCTTCATTCCCTTCTTGCAGAGTGGTGAGTATTTATAGCCATTTTTTGGTTTTGATTTTCTGTGCTACCTTGCTGTCACCACGTGTGATGGAGCAACCTCAGATCAGGACTGCACGGTTTTTATTATAAATTACCCTTGCTAGGGGTCTGTTTTTTCCTAGTGCTGCTTGCCTATTTCATGGGTTGCTCACCTGATCTATGATCTTTGCTTGCTTCTTTGACGCAAAACCTGAGATTAGCAGATTGGCATTTTCTTCATAAGCCACTGCATTTCTCTGACACAGCCTTGAATGCCTCTCCAAGTTGATTTTCAGATTCTCACTGTCTCCACTTTATCCTTGGAGGAACGTTGGGATTCTTTGATTGTCTGCTAGTTCTGCAGTTTTGACATTACTTTTTCAGGTCTGACTGTTAATCTTCTTTAAAGTTGTCTTTCTAGTACTTTGGAGTCCATCACAGCTGCCACCATGTTGTATCTTAGTTCAGCTTTGCAGAGATGACTGAGATGTTGGTGTGTTCAAACGACAGCTAGTCTTTTAATTTATCAATGACATAACTAATGTGTATTACACTGCACACACCATGATCATTCTTTTCCCAAAGTGTGTTCCCAATTCAGGAGGTAGGGCACCAACATTAAAAATGGTTGGAACAAAAACAGAAGTTGCTGGAAAAGCTCAGCAGGTCTGGCAGCATCTGTGAAGAAAAAAAATCAGAGTTAACGTTTCAGGTCTGGTGACCGTTCTGAGGAAGGGTCACCTGACCCGAAACATTGACTCCGATTTTTCTTCACAGATGCTGCCAGACCTGCTGAGCTCTTCCGGCAATTTCTGTTTTTGTTCCTGATTTACAGCATCTGCAGTTCTTTCAGTTTTTATTAAAAATGGCTGATGTGGTCCATCAGTGCATGCGTAGATGCACTCACAACACAAGTGCAACAGCAAAGAACACACACAAACATGCAATTCCTCCTGGTTGGAACATCTTGCTTATTTCACTGCCAAAATAGCCAATCTCACAATTTTTGCTTGTGTCATCTTGAGTTCTAGGAGCACTAACACAGAAACGAAATCATTCAAACTACATTTCTGCATATGAATGTTTGTTGCTCCACCTTGTGGTGGTGTCCATAAATACTCTCATCTTCTTCCAAGTCCCTCAACCATATGTTTTCTTTCATACTCATTATCACATAGTCCCACACATGAACTCTTACAACCCTAATGCTTCAGTCACAATTTGGCTGAATGGGACAGACGTGGGGGACCAGTATGTCTTTTTCATAAGTACATGCAATTTCTAGCAGGTGTTCTTAGATAGTGCGCAGGAGTAGGAGAATCCTTGCTGTTCTTTCCCATTGTTAGCTGCTGAAGTCAAATATGGTATAACAGCTGGAGGCAGATAACCTGGTTAATGTGGCTCGGTACTGATTTGTATAGCTTAGTTTGACACGTATGTAGTGCCTTTATCTTTTGAGGTGATGCTTCATAAGAATATAAAAGTAGGAGCAGGAGTAGATCATTTGGCCCCTCAAACCTGTCGCCTATTCAACAAGATTATGGCTGATCTGTCACAGGACTCAACTCTTCTTTTGTGCCAGCTCAGCACAGCCATCAACTCATTTAGTCATTGTATGATGTGTTATTCTTCCAAAGCCATGCAGGACAAGTTCAATAGTCCAGTCCTTCCATCTAAATGTCTAAAATCCTGCCACTAATGGAAAACACTTGGAAGAATCTCACCTTGAAGTGACCGCTTATAAACTCCTTGGAGAATGGCTGCAACTCGGAAAAAGGTAAAAGCCATATAGAAATTCCAATTTTCGACAGGATTCATACCCATGTTATCACAGTACAGAGTAAGGTATTCCAGATCAGATGGGATTCCGAGCTCTGTCAAATCACAATTATTCAAACCTATGGTAGAAGGAACAGACATGTATAAATTGACATTGCAATTTATTATAAAATCATCAGTTAGCTGTTATGCAAGAAGCTGAGCAAGCTACTTATGAATTCTAAGCTCAAAACTCAACATTCACCAAAACATTCCACTCACTGCCAGTGCCACGACACCTCCTCACGGCTAATTTGAAGAATTTATGAATGGCAAGTAGTTTTCACGAAGATTAGACCAGAAGAAGAACTAGTAAATAGTGTGTGTTGTTGTTTCAGTATTGGCAACACTTTGTAACACTACATTTATTGCTAACTTTTACCACCACTAGAAATGTCAATGATCAAATATTTTCTGTCACCGATATGGGTATTTCTTTCTGCACCAGTTTTAAAATATTATTTTACAGGACATTATACTGGTGTATCACATTTGAGCAGCAGAAAATGATGTTTGAATTGAAAGCTAAGGTTTAATCACCATCTCTCTGTTGCGCTTCCATGGGAATAACTTGGCTTAAAAAAAAAGTAGTAAATGCTCCACCCAAAAGCATAGAAATTTCACACTTCAGTGATTAAAAAAAAATCTTTCCACATTATTTTTCTGTTTGCTTCTATTTAATGGATTTAATTTAATTCAACTGGGTACAGTGGTTAGACCCCACCTGGAGCAGTGAACAGATCTGGGCACCACACCTTAGGAAGGACATATTGGTCTTGGAGGGAGTACAACATAGGTTTACAGGAATGATGCCCGGACTTCAAGGGTTCAGTTTTGAGGACAGAGTATACAAATTAGGTCTGTTTTCTTTAGAATTTAGAAGTTTAAGGGGTGATCTGATCAAAGTCTTCAAGATATTAACAGGAAAGTCAGGATAGATAAAGATAAACCATTTGCACTGGTTGGAGATTCTAGAACTAGGGGGCATACTCTGAGAATTAGGGCCAGACCATTTAGGAGAGATGTTAGGAAACAGTACATACAAAGGGTTTGGAACTCTGTTCCACAAATGCCAGTTGATTCTAGGTCAGTTGATAGTTTTAAATCTGGAATAGGTACATTTTTGTTAAGCGAATATATTAAGGGATATCGGTCAAAGGCAGCTATGTGGGGTCAGGCCACAGATCAGCCATGATCTCATTAAACGGTGGAACAGACACACAGGCTGAATGGCCTACTTCTGTTCCTATGTACAGTTACACGAGCACTGGCAGGTGATATTTATATCGTGGTAATCAGTGTCAGCAGATGGTTTTACTACAGAACAGTTCAGATTAATCCACATGACTTACTCTTCAACTGAAAAGTCAGAAATGGCTTCTAACCACAGAGGTAATTATTTGTGGCTTCCTTCAGTTGTCATTGGAAACTGGTGAGAGCCATGGAGGTGGCAATACAAGTAGGAGAAGAGATACTAGGATGCAAAAAGTTTTTGAAGGAAGCATGGATCAGTGACCACACTTGTGATCTTAAAAGAAGACAGGAAGATATTTCAGCAAAAAAAAAACATGAAACCTGGGACTTGAAAACCTGCCAAGATCGGAAATCAAATGACTTTTGATACCAGATGTTTTCAAAGAATTCTTAGGCACGCACTGGAAGGATTGTATGTTCAACATTAAAGTAAGACAATGCTCAGAATAGCCTCCGGTTTCATCCAACATTTGTAAAAATTGATCAATTAGTTTGACCATGTCACTTGACATCCTGCATTCATGGTGGCCAGCCCTTTAGACATGCATGGTTCCTGCTGAATGTAGAAGAGGAGGTGGCCAAGCTGAACCAGCTCCAGACATTCAGCAAAAATCTCTAGCTGATACCAGATACTGGAGTGAGTCAAATTTCAAAATATTCTTCATGTTTGTGGCCAGCGATCCCTCTGATTTTCTTCACAGCTGCACGGGCTTTCAAGTCCCACCTGCAGCAGTGACTTTTGTAGCCACACAGCTTACAGGGAACATTGGACACTGCATTTAACAATCAAGTCCTTAGAAGAAATAAAGTGTTTTTAAAATCAGAAAACTGAAAAAAAATGACAGAAGGTCATGCTTCAAGTTTTATTTCAAAGATTTATCACTGAAAGTATCTAAAGAGGAAGTAGATGGATTTTTGAAATACCAGGGAATTGAGGCTTTGATGAGTGGGCACAAAAGAGAAGGCCTCAGGCAGATCAGCCATATCTTTTTGAATAGCAGGGCAGGCTTACGGGGCCAAGTGACTTCATCCTGCTCCTACTTTTTATGTTAAGCATCTAACCTAGACTAGCACTTCAATTCTGTGCTTCCTTCTCTCTTATTTCATGTAGTTGCTTTTGCATGTTAGTTATTCAGGATCCTGTCATTCATACCTCATTTAGACATACACAGAATCAAAACTACTGCAGATATTGAAAATATCAAAAAGATTTTTGTTTCCACATTGTATGACTCCATGACTTCAAATATTATCTGTTTCTCTTTCCACAGTTGGTTACAAAATTTCAGCACTATTTGCTTTCAGCTCAGATTTCCAGTATCAGTACAGTATTTTGCTCTTGTCCAAAAATCAACTGTTTGATGATTTGTCTCATTGTTATTTGTAAACTCTGCTTTGTGCAAATTGGTTGCTTTGGTTTCCTATGAAACAAGTAATTACACCCTGGGAAAGGCACAGTATAAATGTAAACAGTTTATTTGAAAGAACCACCAAGGTCCAAGTGTAAGTAAGCAGCATTACTCACATTACCTTTCAAGATGGGGAAATCCAGAGGAAGATAGTGTGCCAAACAACTACATGCCACATCACAAATGGGATCGCCCAAGGTGGACAGTTCCCAGTCCAAAATCGCCAGCACCTCAGGCTTCTCAGGATGAAAAATCAGATTGTCCAATCTAAATTTTTGAGGAGATAGGTAAAGTACAGATGTCCGGTAGTTGAAATTGAGAATGGAGAGAGAGAGAGAAAGGAAGAGAAAATGGGAGGCAGAAGAGTGAGAGAAAAAAAAGGGAAAAAGTGTGCGTTAAATGAATTTTGATTTATAAAACTGATGCATAATGCTCACTACAAATTGGACTCTTAAGTGTGGAGAAGGGTTTACTGAAACAATGGTGCAAGGTTTGTAGAGATGCACTGTGGCCCACAGTTTAAATCCAATCTTTACAACCCAGTAAAATTTAAATCTTAACCTTAAAAGTTATTCTCAAATGCTACCTCCAAATCGGCCCAAACTTTATCTGTTGAAACTATTACCAAGCATTTAAGTAGTTACATTATATACCTGAAGTCCCCATGCACAATTGTGGTCTTTTCATGAGTTGGGAGGTTTTCTGGAAGCCATTTTATGAGCTGTTCCATTGCCTGAATGTTATGAGTCTCACTTGCTCGGTACTGTTCAGTCCACGTACAAACTTGGCGCTGAATGTAGCTGCCTAAGCATAAATATTATTATCAGGTAAGTATAATACCAGGAAAGCCCTTGCAAGAAAATGAAAAGCAGCTGATCAAACTCTTGGAAGAAGCAAGGGATTAAGCAAACAATTCCATTGTCGACTTGTGCAGATTTGAACTTCCATATTTTTCTTAGCTATATCACATTGTTTATACACCAGATTTCCTACAATGGCTTTTTGAATGTACACACTGCTCACTGTGATACAGAGGTTATCAGATCAGAGGCTTCCTGGGGTTTATTCCCGGTCTGGGCTGAATTAGCCAATTGCAGCTTTTGGACTTTTACAATTTGCTTTGGTGATATTGGCTAGAAGGAAACAAAATGAGCCAGTTTAATGCACAATCTAATGTACACTTAATGAGAATGATAATGAGTCATGCCAACATGGAGGCAGCAGTAGTGACAAAATGATCTGGTCCTCTGGCAAACAGGATAGAATGAGAGGTTATGTCTCTGATTTATCAGCAAGAAAGATCCTGGTTCACACTTGGCATGATAAAAGTGCTAAGGAGAATAGGTAGGGCAAAAGCTAAAAAGAGGGTTATGAATTATCCCACACTATAAAAATAATTGATCCATAGGAATAAGTAAAAAACGAAATCTAACCAAATTCAAAACTCAGGACAGTATATAAGAACAAATGCATGCGAAGTTTTAACTGATTCAAATCTGTAGGTAGTCCTTACCATGTTTTCCATAATCATCTAATCCAGCAGCATGGATGTCAACCTGATGAATCTGGCAGAGAACATGGTTCATGGCACTGTAAATTTCTGTTCGTTGACGAGCAGATTGTCCTGGTAGTGTTGGATCCTTAAATATTCTCCCTGGGCAGTATTCCATCAGGTAGAAGGAAGTCCCAAGAACACTGGAAAAAAGGGAAAATTACTATGAATACCATCTCTGTTAGTAAAGTTAAAATATAGTTAAGATATTGCATACCGATATTTTAATATAAAACTCAGCCAGTGATCCCAGAATAGTATTATATTTGAATAAGTTATTGCTTTAAAAAATGCTGTTGAATTTTTCAATCTTTCATCCAAAAGGGGACACTGTTCATACAAAATTACTTCGAGGAAAGAAGCAAATGTACCAAACCAAATTTGCAGACAACACAAAAATAGACAGAAAGGCAAGTTGCAAAAGGGATACAAAACAGATACAGAGAGATATTGATAAGTTAAGAGGGCAAAAAGTTGGCAAATGGACTACAATGTGAAAAAATGTGAAGTTGTTCATTTTTGGAAGGGAGAACAAAAGAACAAAGTATTATTTAAATATAGAAAACTGCAGAAAGCTGCAACAACAAACTTGGAGCCAGGTGTGCATGAAACATAGAAAGCTAGCACACAGGTGAAGCAGGTACTCAGGAAGGCTAATGGAAAGTTGGCCCTTATTTCAAGTGGTCTAGAGTGGGGAAGTCTTGCTGCAGCTGTATAAGATGCTAGTGAGACTGCACCTGGAATACTGTGAGCAGTGTTGGTCCTCATTTTTTAAAGAAAAGATTGGAGGCAGTTCAGAGAACATACATTAGGATAATCCATGATATGCAAGATTGTCTTATGGGCAAAGGTTAAACAGGTTAGGACTCTATTCATTCAAATTTAAAAGAATGCGAGGTGATCTCATTGAAACATATAGGATTCTTCACGGCTTGACAGGCTAACTACTGAGAAGATCTTTCCCCTCATGGGAGGGTGTTGCTCCAGTAGGCACTGTTTTAGAATTAAGGGGCACCAATTTAAGACTGAAAAGAGGAGGCTTTTCTTCTCTCAGTGGTTTGAGTGTCTTTGGAACTCATTGCCATGGAGAGCTGTGGGGCAGAATCCTTCTGTATATTTAAGGCTGAGATAGATAGATTCTTCATCAGTGGAGGAATGAAGGGTTAAGGAGAAAGGCAGGAAAATGGATATGAGAAATGTCAGACCAGCCGCGATCCTAATGAATGGTGGAGCAGGTTTGATGGACTGACCGGCCCACTCCTGTTCCAACTTTTTATGGCCTTACAGTCTAAACATATGAATTGGGAGCTGAAACAAGAAGAACCTACCTTTTCACTGGATTTTTGAGATCAGGAATCAGGTGTCAAAGATCAGCCAGTTAGGCTCCGCTCCATTAAAAACATGCAAGGATTTAAAAGGGCCTTGGCATTTCTTAGCACTCAGGGGGAACTGCATGGCAGCTATTGCTGCTTTTGAGACTGTAACCCTAGAGATCGGCTTGCAAACCCATTGGTGGTCATGACCCATTCTTTAGGAGATCCTTCTTTTCTTTATTCATTCACAGGATGAGGGCGTCACTGGCCAGGCAGCATTTACTGCCCATCCCTAATTGCCCAGAGGGCAGTTAAGAGTCAACCAGATTGCTGTGGGTCTGGAGTCACATGTAGGCCAGACCAGGTAAGGATGCCAGTTTCCTTCCCTAAAGGACATTAGTGAACCAGATGGGTTTTTCCTCTAACAATTGGCAATGGATTCACAGTCATCATTAGATTCTTAATTCCAGATATTTATTGAACTCAAGTTCCACCATTTGCCATGGTGGGATTTGAACCCAGGTCCCCAGAACATTATCTGGATCTCTGGATTAACAGTCCAGCAATAATACCACTAGGCCTTCGCCTCCCCTGTTATAACATATGTAAAGCTTTGACTCCAGCTCTATCCTTCATCCTCTGGATATCTGTGATAGGACAAATTCCAACTTGGCTCTAAGCCCATTGCCCCATTTCAATTAATGGAGCATATCAAAACAAATGGCATCACCTGCATAGACAATGCTGACAGAAAAAAAAAGTACACCCTTTAAATCTTATTTTATATTTATTCTCTCCATCCCAGTGGGGACATTTATTTCCTTCCGATGTCCATCTCAGATGCTAAACAAGGTATACAACTTCCCTTACTGTGACTCATAAATGTGTTTCAGCAGCACCAAAAGACTGAATGTTCCCATGAACCACATCAGCTATTTTTTTCAGCAGCTCATTAAAATTGATGATTTAGTGCTGAATGTTGTATTGGGTATTACGTCTACTTGCAACTGAGCCACATTCCGTTTGATTCATTACTTTCATGATAAAGGTGCAGTATAAATGTATTTTGTTATTTCAAAGATCTAATTCCCACACAATGTAGAAAAGTAGACACTTTGACTTTATCAGGTTCCAGAGGTGAATGACAACACCTTGAAGAATAAATCATCCAGCTTCCATAGTCATCCAGTTTCTTCATAGTCCCCTTCTTTTCCTTTCCATTTGTTGATTATCATTATATTACTGACACACACAAATAGCTTATACACACAGCTACGGAGTTTGACTTTTTACCTGGGGTCCTCACAGATGGCAAGAGTCCTGGGAACAGGAACTCCCATGGATCCAAGAGCTTTCATCACCCTGAATGGACCAAATATAAAAATGAAACTTAGCCTCCCAAAACATAGTAGGCAACTATGTGACTGAAAAAATTTCAAGCATTCAAAACAGAACACAATTAACTGTACACCCACTCTACAGCTCCCCCATTTTTGTTTTACTAATTTTCTCTTCTCATCCTGTAAAGATGCTACTTTTCGCTGGCATATATTACAATAGATACTGAAAGTTTGATATTAAGTGCTGGCAAAATATTTGACTGTGTGGTGCTTCACAAATATGACTAACCAGGAGTTCATCCAATTACCACATTTTTATGCAGCAGGTAATCAAGATTTGGGAACCTGCCTAAATGTCCCCTCCTCTATCCAGGGTCACTGAAGCTCATATTGATAAATAGTTGAAACTAACTGAATTGGCATAGTTGGGAATTAAACTTGAAATCTTCCTTATCAGTACCAGGCATTAAGGAGCTATGAGCTGAAAATTTTATTTTTATTAAGTGGTGGACCCAGGGCCCTGGAATTTGTGGCACCTGAGAGCAGCTTAAGAACTAAACAATCTGAGCGCCTGATTGAGTGAAGAGGAATCAGTTTTGTAAGACGTAGTGACCCCCTCCATTTTATGCACAAACCTGTATTCTCTTTTCACCGCGTGTGCTGATTGCAGAAGTTTTCCGGGTGGTTTCTTTCTTAGGATCAGCTGTTGATCGCCACTCCGCATGTGATAGGTAAAGTTAGATTGGCCATGACTAAACTGCCGGAGAGTCAATGGCTCTGAAACCAGACATAGCATAACAATCAAATTTCATCAATACAATGGTGTTGCAACCCACTCAGGTAGTGCACTGTAAATCAAGCCTCACTATTCCTGGAAACATACTGAATGTTAAAGTTTCTTTAAAAGAATGATAGTTTCCTAAAGTGCCTGATTGTCAGACCAAGGTTGATAGAAACCACAAACCACATTTCTGTACTGAACGAGAATAATTATTTACTACAAGTAATTAGACTTTAGCTACAGATGAACAGGTATGAACTACTAACTAACTCTAACCTCCTCATTATAAACTGCCCCCTCCCCCTCTCTCTCTCTCACACACACACACACACATACACAGGCTAGACAGAAACAAATAGGGAAAATAGATTATTGGTAGAAGTAGAAAAAAAAGGGATGTCAGTTCAATGGTCTTTGCTTCCCTGTTCTGATGTTGAGGTAACCCTTCTTCATCTGGCCAGGCACCCTGTTCAGATATCTTTCCTGGAGGCTTCTGTTGGTTTGTAAGTAGTACAAGGTGGCATATTCATTTGGAAAATGTCTTGGATTTACCAATTCAAAATTCACAGCTTACAGCAACTGCTGCAGGGAAAGTAATTGCTTTACTTCAGGACTAAACGGAGTTTTTGACTGCAGGCAACAGGCAGCCTCTTGGCTGGGTGAAGATCTGCACACATTTTCTTTCTTTCTCTGTGTCTCTGAAACTTGTTTCCAGCTCCAAGCTGCTCAGCTACCCAAAAGCCAATCACACAATTGTTTGTAAGCAAAAGATTTCTGTCACTGTTAATTGCCATTAGTTTAGAGACAAATCAGCTTCTTGTTGTCAACAAGAGCTGTATCAGTACACACCCTTGGTTCCAGATTGTCTACACTCTGAACTTCAATTACTGCTTTTTCAAACAGTTGTTTACAATGCCTGTGATAGGGATCAGTTATTTGCTTTCAAAACTGAAGTTACTTTTTCACACAATGGTTTTTAAAACAGTTCTTTTTCATCTCAGTCCGCAGTTTTTAAAAGCACAAACATAAAAAGACAACAAGGTGTGGAGCTGGATGAACACAGCAGGTCAGGCAGCATCAGAGGAGCAGGAAAGCTGACGTTTCGGGTCTGGACCCTTCTTCAGAAATCTGAAGAAGGATTTCTGAAGAAGGGTCCAGACCCGAAATGTCAGTATGGTAAGCTGCTGGTTCTCTCTGGCCAAACTCTTACAGATGTAAATTTGATTATCCTGAAAGAAGTAAGCAAGACAAATCAAGCTACAATACAGTAAACGTGCAAACAACCAACAATAGACTTCCTCAAGCAGGTAGATGCTTTGAGTTCTAGCAGATCATACTAAATAAATCTGAGACCGACTCTCAGAAATGAGAAGAACCTTAAAGCTTTTCAATAATTCACTTAGCAAAAAGCAACCCTCAGTTTCTAATGTGAAATTAAATTTCCCTGTTTGAGTTAAAATAATTTGATGCTAAAGTAACTGGGCAATAGTACCATAACTCAATACAGTACACAACGTGGTAGAACTATGAATACAAAAGTACTAACTATACATTTCCCTACTGAGACAGAGAAACTCCAGGTGATGATATTTCTAAAACTCTTCTCTCTACATTGACTATTGCACAAACTATATTGAGCTGCAAAGTTTGTATTGGATCTCAAATTCCTTCTGGTTCAATAACTGAAATTCAAAAAGGAAAACATTTATTCAATTTGACCTACAATTCAGCTTGATCTTCTAGAATTTTAGCACACTATGCATTGGTTCATATAATTTCATACAGTGTGACACTAGTTTCATTCTGATCACGTATCAAAGTCATTTAGCTATCTGAAGTGGGATCATTCAGAAACTGTTCTAACAGTGTCTCACTGTAAGGAAGTTACTTCACAAGTACATGTACCTTTAGTGTAGAATTTGCGTCATAGCATAATGTAGGACAGTGAAGCACCTACCTCCTGAACTTAGCCCCAAAGTGGTCTGGAGGTACTCCTTCAGACGGTCTGTAGGAATGTCTGTGTCTTTACGAACAGCTTGCGTACCATACACGTAACCATGCAATGGGAACCTCAGCAATGACTCCAACTTCTGAATGGCTGTAGTTGTGTCTCCAACCTGGAAAATGAGACACCTTTGCCACGTTGCTTTCAGCTGATGATTCCCTGTTTCCATATAGCAGTACAAACCTTCACATGACTGAAACGACAATCTCTTCATTGTCTTCACAAGTAAAAGAACCACCAAGTGCACTATTCAGGTGAGAAAGATCTCTAGCGAGAAATGCTCTTGTCCTCGGTCCCTTAATTCTTGAATGGGAAAAGCTAGATATGATTTTTGCTCCTGATTTTTTTTTAATTAACGGAATAAGACCGGCATTGTTGCCCATCCCTAATTGCTCAGAGGACAGTTAAGAGTCAACCACATTGCTGTGGGTTGGCAGTCACATGTAGGCAAGGATGGCAGTTTCCTTTCCTAACGGGCATTAGTGAACCTGGGTTTTTCAGACTATCACCAATCGTTTCTCTCAATTCCAGATTTTTATTGAATCCTTCTGCTGTGGAAGGATTTGAACCTGGATCCCTGGAACATTAGCTGAGTCCCTGGATTAACAGTCCAGCGATAATATCACTAGGCCATTACCTCCCTTGCCAAGTGGTAACCTATAAAATATGCAAGTGTGCATTTAGGATCAGGACTGTTGAGATTCACATCTGATTCATACGTATAGAATGGTTAAATGGCCAAGGTATCAGAGGTCTGAGGGAGACTATATGACCACACCCCGGAGAAAAAAACACTGCTGATCTTGGAGGAAAAGCCATAGAACATTAATTATTTATGAAAATTATACATTAATTATTTCTAGATTACGAATGTACCTCTTTTTCCAATCATGATGCACTGTGTGCTATGGCCCTGCAAATTATTTTTCAGTGGCTGGCAACTGTCTACAACAGCTTTACCTTAATTGTAATCATCCCAAGCTGAGCTGCTGGTTCCAGGTTTCGTCCAGAGTCATCAAGATAAATTGATTCTGTAGGGTGGACTTTCAGATGTTCTAAACAAAGTTTGTAGATCTCAGGATTTGGCTTTTTAATTCCTTCACGGCATGATTCAATAATCTGCAAACATTGAAGTAAACCTAAGCAAACAGTGTTGGTAAAGTCCTTCATTTTAATCTTCAGTGGTATAATTTCTACATCTAGGCCTCAAAATTTATTTACTTGTTGCTGTTGTACTCATAGAATTGTTATAGCGCAAAACAAGACCATTTAGTCCATTATGTCTTTGCACCAGCTCGCTAACTGAAGAAATCACTAAGTGCCATTCCTCCACAGTCTCCTTATAACTGCCTCAAACATTCTTCCTTTTCTGATAACTGCTTGATTCCTTTTGGAACACTTCAATTAAGTGTGCCTCCACCACATTCTCAGGCAGTACAATCCAGATCTTCATAATCATTGCATGAAAAAGTTTTTCCTCGTGTTACATTTGCTTCTTTTGCCAATTGTTTTAGATCTGTGCCATCTTGTTTTTGACCTTTTTAAATGACTGGGCACAATTTCTCTCCATCAACTTTGTTGGGACTCCTAACTATTTTGAAAATTTCTATCAAATCTCATAGCCTTCTCTTCTCCAAGGAAAGCAGTTGCTCCAACCTACTTTCATAACAGAACTTCCTCATTCCTGGAACATGCTTGCTCATGCCCTCACAAATTGAGGCCAAATTTGTATCTTGTACAAGTTCAACATAACTTCTAAACAAAAAAAATCTGCAGCTGCTGGAAATCAGAAACTTCTGGGAAAACTCAGCAGCTGTGGCAGCATCTGTGGAGAGAAAGCAGAGTTAATGTTTTCTGGTCCAGTGACACTTCTTCAGAACAGAGTGTTCATAACCTCCCTGCTCTCGTACTCTATGCCCTATTATTAAGGACTGTATGTTTTATTGGCCATGCTCTCAACCTGTCCTGTCACTTTCAATGACTTACATACTTATTCGCGCAAGTCCACTTGACTAGCAACACACCCAGATTCACTTCCTTTACATCCATTTAGTAGCAGCAGTGTGTACCACCTTCAAAATGCACAACAGAAATTCACCAAAGCTCTTCAGAAAACACACGAGTGAGAACATCACCAGGTGCAAGTTCCTCTCCAAGTCATTCACCATGCTGCCTTGTAAATACAGTAGAGTCAACTTTGTCCCAGAGGAATATAGCGCTGCTCTCTCATTACACAGAAATGATTGTATAACCTAAGGACCACTGCGCCTCAGGCGAGAGACGAGCTTTAGAAGGTGGAACCATCATGGCAACCTCAGCCTGTGCAAGAATTGAACGCGTGCTATTGGCATCACTCTGCATCACAAACCAGCAGTCCAGCCAACCAAACAAACTGACGTCCACCTGGAAATATATCAACATTCCTTCAGTGTCGCTGGGTCAAAATCCTGGAACTCTCTTCCAAACAACAACATTCATGTACCTATTCCAAATGGACTGCTGTGGTTCAAGATGGCTGCTCACCACCAAGTTCTCAAGGGCAAGGAGGGATGGACAATAAATGCCAGCTCAACTAGCAAAGTCCACATTCCCTGAACAAATAAAAAATTGCAGGGAATAATGGGAAAACTGGTTAGATTTTAAAATCCGTTTATAACTTGGAGGACATTGCTTTCTTTATTTTTCCAATTTGTTCCTAATATTTTGTGCCTAGGTACCTTTATACCTAAGATGGCATGACAATAAACCTAATTCTAATACAATAATACATATATTTTACTGCCCATAATCAAAAGTATCTTTAGTAACTTTTTGTATTCATGTGACACATGCACTTATTTATAAAATAATTGAGAAAAATATCTTGTTTCAACGACACACAAGCTCATTACCGTAATAAGATTACAAAAGAATATCAGCCAGGGGTCATTACAGTCCATGTTTAGTCATTTATAACAGAAGTAGCAACACTTCTGCTAGTCTCATACATCTTCAGAAATGTAAGGCCTGATTATTCCGATATGATCCTTGCCAGCTGACTCTGCACATTGGCAAATTAGCCCAAACTCCATCCATCACCCTTTCCTGGTTTAAAGTCTTAATACAATCATTTTCAAATGCTTTATGGCTTTATTCAATTCTAAGCTTGCAAATTTCAGTTTAATCTATTTGAGACAGCAGGTTTGAACTTCTAATTCTAGAAAAACTAGGCAGCTCCTCTCCCACTCATCCAACGATTAGGTCTCTGTGCTCTGAATATGTTTTGTAAACTCTTTATATTTCTCGTTCTCTCCATTCCTACTGCCTCCGTAATACCTATATATCTGACCAGGTCTTCAATCGCCTCCCCTTTTACTCTCCTGCTTTACATCCTAATACCCGATTCCACAGTATCCATCCCATTTTGTGGCAAGTAGTATGAAGGTACAAGTTTCTGCTGCTCACCAAACTCCTTGACAAGCTTTGAAAAATACATGTGGACACCCACATACTTACTTAATCAGCATTTCCCATCTATGGGAGATGCAGTATTTCAGAAGCACAAGTTAGAATATCCATCAAGACCATCTCCTAAACAACAATGTAATGTTCACGGAGATAGTTTACAGTGAAATTCCTATTTATTTTGTATTTTCAACCCTTGTAGATGAAACTGGAAGTACAGCATAATAATTTCCTAGTTACCACTCACACCCTCGTATCCATTCACAAAGAGACTAAATAACAGAACTCAAAGTAGAGTCTTTCTCTATCTGTGGCATCAAGTGCTGACAGTCTAATGTTCAGCACTCCTGTACCAACAAGCATACCTAATCATAGTTCTTCCTTACACACTTACCGCACAAGATATACACAAAAGGAAATAGAATGAAGTGCTTGATCGGTTGTACTCACCACATCAAAATCAACTTTCTCCACAGGCAAGAAACTCTGGTCTTTGAACCAGAAGTTATTGGTCAGTATAGCAGTTTTCAATCCTTCCGCCCTGATACATTGGATTGCTTCTCTCATCGCAGGAATCTGATATTTCAGCTGACTTGTCATTGCTTGTAAACAGGGCTTGATTATATTAGAGGTCTGTTTCTATAAAGAAAAGGAAAACTGTTAAATGTTAGTGATAGAGAGAAGCAACCTCAGAGAGAGAGAAAATGTGAAAGGCAAGGAAGAATGATAAATAAGCAAGAGCTAGAAACAGCACATGAAAGTTGAGAAAGAGAAAGAAGAACAGGGAGAGAGCATAAAGTACATTAATAACAGTCTGAGTGAGGCTGACTGGGAAATCAGAAATAACAGGTAAAAGGTGAGAGATTACTAGTAATTTGGAGATATGGACTAAAAGGGAAAGAGTGTGCAAGACCAAAAAATCTAGTGTCTTGAAAAAAAAAAGGAAGAGAAAGATAGAGTTGCAAAAGAAAAGGAGCAAGATAGGGCTGAGACTTTGAAATGCAGTACATTGATGGTAAGTTAAACAGAGAGACAGAAAATAAGCGTAGGAATAGGCCATTCAGACCTTTGAGCCCAATCCATCATTCAATAAGATCATGGCAGATCATTCAACTCAGTGCCATGTTCCCACTTTCTCCCCATACCCTTTGATCCCTTTAGCCTTAAGAGCTAAGAACTATATCTAATTCTATCTTAAGGATTTGTGTTCACAATACCTCACATCCTAAGTTTCATACACAGACCATGCTGTTTAGCTTGGTGTTGAAGTGGAAGCTGGCCAATCAAGTTGCCCACAGAAAGCACAGGCTATTGAGACTTCCTAATGCCTGGTTACATACCAGCAATGAGAACAGAAATGGGCACAGAGGGTAAAAAAAAGAGTTAAACACAGCAATACTATAAGAACTTGAAAATAGAATAGTTAGGTGGTTTTTTTGACCAACCCAAATGGGCCAGGGAACCTTTTTTTGGGGCTGTAGACTTCTACGACTCTAAAACATGGTCTGTACCACTGAATGTGAATGGAAACAATGCAGCAAAGTAAACTAAGTTAAATCCTCCAGTCACTAACATCTTGCAGTGAAACCCACATTCCTGTTAACAAAGCAGAAGACAGGAAAAGGGCAGTGAATGAAAAATAAGAAAGGTGCAACAGGAAGTGGGGTGGCCAGGAATAAACAAAGGAAGCAAAGAACAATTTACCAGAATAATAAATCATAATATCAAACAGTCAGAAGGTCCCACAATTCTACAAGCAGAGGCATTTGGCACAGTCCAATCCATTTTTCAAATGTTCTATTTCTGCACTGGATACAGGAAGATAATATCTGAACAGTTGTCTTTGTTTTCACACACACACTCCAGGTAAGCAAATAAACTTAACATAGATGCAAAATGAATAACTTACTTCTCACCCAATCTTTTGCCTGTCCCTCCTAAAATCAATGACATGGAGTAGCTTTTGACAAACAGTTGATCATTAGATGTGAACCCACATCATGTGGTTATTTAAGTATACAGGAATTAATTCCTTGCAGAATCCTGTTGTTACCTAATACCTATACCTACAAAATCACCAGCACTGGAAACTCCAGCTAATAGGGGTTCCTTTTCTAAGCCCAGGCACGGTGAGGCCAATTATACGGATATTAGCGCTGCCCAGCATTGGGTTGGTTCAGAGATCTCCCACTTCATGTCAATAAAGATTTACTGCTTGCCCTTGTACCCTCTTTAGAATAGACCAATGATCCTTGGAAGTAAAATGATCAGGAATGGATAAAATATTACACATTGTTTATTTATTAATTGTCCTTGTTCTATTATCTCCAAACATCCATATGCAGAGCTACGTTCTAACTCCCTTACTATTGCTAGATACTGGGCTCCCTTAAAACCTTAATTTTTCTGGTATTTATTGCATAGCATGAGGTTTCATTTAACAGCATTACAGCTGTAATTAACTTTCCCAAATTCTAGCATGCGAAAATGAAAGGGAAGAATTACAAAAACGCAGTGTCACAATATGTATTGAACTAGAATCAACAGTTTATCTGGTGCCAAATGTACCCTATTATCAGTATGTTGTTTTCAAAAAATAAGGAAGTTTTGTTCTTAGGAAAAGTGAAACTAACCTTCAAACGGAGGTGGGCAAGAGGACAGTGAGCATCTGACTTAGGAGTAGTTGTCCAATGGTTATTGGCTAAAAGGGTTCAGACAATTGATTCACTCAAGGAAAATAACGTGCCCTAGAAATATGATAAAACAATAAGTGCTCAGGGGCAGAGGGGTGTTCTCATCAAGCAGACCTTGTAGGCAGCAGTTCTCATCAGTTGGTCCCCATTGAGTAGCCCTCATCAGTAAATGGAACATTGACCAAAAGTGGACAAAGACTCAGGGCAGAGTTCCTTAACACCTTGGCGAGAGGAGGATGCCGCCTCCACCATTTTAGTAGACCAAAATATTCCCTACTGACAATCTGTTTGTCCTCTAGTATCAGTGTATCATCCCCAGTAGTCACGATTGTATACTTCTTTTACCTAACATACCATATGCAAACTGCTGCCTCTCAATAAACTATTATAAAATCGCTATAAATTGTTGACTGCCTACGTTACGTAACTGTGATCATGAACTCCCTAAACTCAAAAATATATCCCACCATTCAGTGGAAAGACAAGTACAAACTGAAAAGCTGCCTCACTAAACACTCCTCACTAAACTGAGATCAGTACTGTTTCTGAATCATTGTTTTTAAATCAGGAAACATAACAGAAGGGCCAGAGTGTAGAATATTTGAAGGCTGAAAACAGGAGAGAAAAACCAAGCAACAATATTTGGTGATGCCAAACTTGGATTTTAGGTCTATACAAGGACTGACAAAGGAAAACAAAGAGCTGCACAGTTATAACGATCTGAAACAGAATCTATGAAAGTTGGAATTAATGCTCTGAATTTTGTTTTCAACACAGTAAGAATGTACAGTAAAGTAAGCATGTAGGATTGCTATTGCAACTTGATCACAGTGCTATCAATGAAAGAGGGATGATTTAATGGTGAATTAATTACGTTAAATAATGGCATATGAAATAACTCCACAGAGGCTGGTATCCTGTCACCAAGTCAGTCTTTATTTACACATGGGAAGTCCTTGACACTGATCCAGCTCCCTCAGAACCAGCCCTCAGAGTGAACACAACTTTCGACACTCCTGCTTTCATCGGTCAGCCAGGCCTCCATTTGGACCAGGTTAACAGCACTACTCAGGGAACTCACGAGGTCCACCTGGCTGACCTGGTTACAATCGTCACATCCCCCTCCCTCCGAGTCTGAGGACATAGGCTGGTTCTTTTTCTCGTAGCTCCTCCTGGGGCGTTTTAGCACTGGGTCAGGCTCCTGACTCTGCCTTGGATACGGTGGCATGTAACGCATAGTAGCTTGCTTCCTGCGCCTGGAGTGTTTTGGAAAAAATTCATCCTCTTCTTCAGGCGGCAAAGGCATCAAGGCAGCGACATCCACCATGTCCATCTCAGATTCCGAGGGATCTTCAACGCTTGACGGAGAGAGAGAACCCACTGGTTCTGACAGCCTTTCCGATTGTTTCGAGGAGCTGGGCATGTTTTGCTCCCATCCTGTTTGTGAATTTGCAGTTTCATATGGTCTATGTGCTTGTCCAGGACTATCACACCTACCCGAACTTTATACGTCATTGGACCTGACCTCGCATCGACCATGCCTCTTAGCCATGTAGGGACATTTTTATGGATCCTATGCCAAACTTCGTCCTCTGACGTAAACTGTCTCTCTCTGTGTCCGGCACTGGCGTTCCTGATGCCATTTCATCGTTTGCTCCCAGGTCCGGGTAGATCATATTTAATCTCATGTGGAGTCTTCTCTCCATTAGCAACTTTGCTACAGCTATCCCTTAGTTGCAGGACGGTGGTCCTATAAACAAGTCGGAAATGGGATAGTTTGGTATCCAGTGAAGACGTAAGCCATTTCTTTAAGCCTGCCTTCAAAGTTTGGACTGCTCTTTCTGCCAAGTTATTGGATGATGGAATGGTATGGAGCTGTCCTTATATGTTGAATACCATTTGACTTTAGGAAATACTCAAATTCCCTAGTGGTAAATGATGACATGTTATCTGTGACCAGGAGTCCATGTATTGCAAAAGACACATGCAGTTTTTCTATTGTTGTGCCCATGTTTCTCAAATAACTCTATCCATATCCAGCTACTTTGAGTGGGCACGCACAATGACAATGAACATTGAGCCCATGAAAGGACTTGCAAAGGCAACATGCAACTAAGTCCAGGGTTTACCTAGTCACTCCCACAAATGTAGGGGAGGTGCTGGCAGTACTTTTTGTCCTTGTTGGCACTCTGGGCACTGTCCCACCAATGTGGCTATGTCCACATCCAATCCTGGACACCAGACATAACTTCATGCAAACATCTTCATTTTAGAAACCCCTGAATGACCGTGGTGGAGTTCAGCCAGTATCTGGCGGCGACCTTTGTTTAGGACAATTACTCTTGCTCCCCATAATAATATGCTGTCCTCTAGTGCGATCTGCCATCTCCAGGTCCAAAAAGAACCTGATTGTGATGGGCCTTTGGTTTCATCCATCACCACCAGCTGTTTCAGTTTTACCAGGACCAAATCTTTTTGCATCCAAAGTCTGATATCGTCAGCTGAGATTAGAAGCGTGCCTAGAAAATTTAAAACTATTATGGTATCTTCCAGCTGGTGGAGACTCAATGCATAGCATTAGCTACTTGTCCTCCTGGATGCAGTTCCAACTTGTAATTATATGCACTTGGTATTAGAGCCCACTGCTGAATTCGGCCTGAAGCTATGGGCAGTACTGCCTTCACCTCTTTAAGTAGATCTAAAAGGGGTTTGTGGTGTATTATCATTACAAATTTACATCTATAAAGGTTTTGGTGGAACTTTTTGACTCCAAATATAACTGCCAAATCTTCCTTCTCTATCTGGGCGTATTTACGCTCTGCATTAGCCTGGATGCATACACTATTGGGCGTTCCTCTCCATCGGGCCACCTATAAGCTAACACAACCTTGATGCTGTAGGGGGAGGCATTCCATGTCAATTACCAGATCTCGCTTTAGATCATAGCCTACCAACTAGGGTGGCACAGTGGCTCAGTGGTTAGCACTGCTGCCTCATAGTGCCAGGGACCTGGGTTCATTTCCAGCCTCGGGCAACTGTCTGTGTGGAGTCTGTATGTTCTCCCCACATCTGCGTGGGTTTCCTCCCATAGTCCAAAGATGGACAGATTAGATGAATTGGCCATGATAAATTGCCCATAATGTCCAGGAATATGTAGGTTATTTGGGTTAGCCATGGGAAATGCAGGGTTACAGCGATAGGGTAGGGGACTGAGTCTGGGTGGCATGTTCTTCAGACAGTTGGTATGGACTTGTTAGGCCAAATGGCCTGTTTCTACACTGTGGGGATTCTCGGTATTCTAAGGATGATAGCTGTTTATTCACTTCCCTAAAAGCTATGGCTTGGCTAAACGACCATTTCCAAGGCTGACCCTTTGTTTAAGAGTTGATGCAAAGGTGTAGGATGCAGGCCATGTTATTTTACAAACTTTCTGTAATAATTCACCAATCCAAGGAAAGACCTAAGCTCCGGTACAGACGTGGGAGCTGGAGCACCTTTGTTTACCCTCAGTTTATCTTCCAATGGGTGTAACCCAGTCTTGTTGGCTCAATAGCCCAAGTAGGTCACTTGGGGTGTCTGGAACACACATTTCTCCTTCTGAGGTATACGCCCACCTTAGAAAACTGGACTGGTTTGATGATTCCTTTGCTTTCCAGCTTTCTGATTTCTGTCTCTACTTTTGCCCAAAAGGCAAATGACAGTGGGTGGGCCCTGCAGAATCATTGAATTGCTTCCTGGTCAAGACACAATGCAGCCTTCGATCTTTGGATTGTCCATACACCTTCCTGAAAAACGTCTGGATACTTAATTTGGAGTTCACTCAGGCAGCCATTTTCTAATCTAAAAATGTTCAGCCAATCAAAGTGAATCTTTCTCCACCAATTTCGCCCCATCAAGCGTGCGCCTGAGCCTTTTACTACTATCTGTGGTAAATGAACCAGCTGCTTCTCATACAAGACCAGAATTGAAGTTGTACCCTTAATCTGTAAAGTTCCCCGGTATATCTTCTCAATCTAGCCAAGGTCTTGTGCAAACTTAAGGGTCAGAGTCCAGAGTGAATTTTGTTAAAGACTGCTTCTGCAATCACAGAAATGGTTGCTCCAGTATTGACCTTCATTAGAACCAGGTGGCCATTTAACCAGATGTTTATTTGATTTGGATGTTGCTAAACAATTTAACAGTTCCAAACCAGATATATGTGGACCTTCCAGGGCGTACACTCTCCTGGATACCGGCCTATGAGTTCTCTTACTCTATTTAGGTCTAGTGGGACTCTTTTGCTGTCTCAAGTCCGCATACTGACAGCAACTACAATGACTTGCCGGTCCAGATCCCAAAGAAAATTTTAACCATTTGGCCAAGGCTTGGATTTGTTTTGGGGTTTTGCTGTGGGGCTGACCTAGAGTCCTCCAGTTCAGGATGTGTCCTAAGTGAGGCTCTGCAACTGTCTTCACTCAAGTGGTGTTTCCAAGCTCAGTCAGACTGGCGAGGGTATCCACTTCTACTGGAATAACCTGCAACACACATGCTCCACTTACTGCTTTTTCCAATGATATAGCCGATTGTTGTACCTGTTTGAAGTCCGGTTGGGCTTCAGCTCGTAGGTGCTTTTGCATAACTACATCATTATACCCACATACCAAACAGTCTCTCAGTATCTCATTAAGGGTTAACCAAAGTCACATGCCTCTGCCAGTCATCTTAAGTTAGTCAAAAATCCTGATACGGATTCCCCTGGTTCTTGAACTGCCAAATAAAACCAATAGCGTCTCAGAATTAGAGGAGGCTTGGGGTCATAATATTCCTTAATTAAATGCATCAACTCTTGAAAGGTTTCAGTACCTGGTGCCTCAGGGAAAGTTAGGTTCCTAATAACCAAAAGAAGCCTCGGATCCACAAGCTGTCAGGAGAATGATTCGTTGCTTTTCATTTGCCCCAATATCATTTGCTCAGAAAAAAAAATACATTCTTTCCATATACTGGGCCTAGTCTTCGGCAGCAGAATCAAATAAGTCAAGCTTCCAAATCATGGCGTGATGCCAGAGATGCTTACTCCAACTCAAAGACAATTGCTACAAGTGAATTTCTACAGGCGTATGCTTTCTTCTCGTTGCCAGTGAAATAACTCCACAGAGGCTGGTATCCCGTCACCAAGTCAACCTTTATTTACACGTGGAAAGTCCTTGACACTGATCCAGCACCCTCAGAACCATCTCTCAGAGCGAGCAGAACCTCTGACACTCCTGTTTATATCTGTCAGCCAGGGCTCCCTGGTTGGACTAGATTAACAGCCCAATCAGGGAACTCATATTCTATGAGGTCCACCTGGATGACCTTGTCACACTCACTACAGCAAAACGTATATTTACATAACACTTTTAACGTAATAAAATCTCCCAAAGTGTTTCACACGAGCATTAAAAAACAAGCTGCTGAGACATATAAGTAGATAGGTCACTAAAAGGCTGGGTCAAATAGGTAGATTTTTACAGTATATCTTAAAGGAAGAAAGTGAAGTAGAGGCAGAAAGATGTATGAGTGAGTTCCAGATCTTAGGGGTCCAGGGTACAGAAGACACAATCACTAATTGTGGAGCAATTAAAACGCACAAGGCCAGAATTAGAGTAGCACAGATATGTTGGACCGCTTTAAGCTGAATGAGTTACAGAGATAGGGATGTCGTGAGGCAATAGAATGATTTGTAAACAAGGATGAGGATTTTACAATCGAGATGTTTTTTGACTGGGAGCCAATGTAGTGTTGCAAGCAAATAAAGCAGCATATTGAGAAAGCTGTTTGTAATTGCTTCCTTCTGTATGGCACTGAAGTTGATTGCCATACAACCTATTAATCCATCTGTGGCCAGCACACACAACACCAAACAGAAAAGTGAAAACATTGCTCCGTTTTGCTGTGCATTTTTAATTACTGCACTGGTAGCTGCTTCAAACCTTAAGTCATTTCATAAAATAATGCAAACAAACAAGTTGTGGAGAGAACTAGAAATTGTTGAAACGTCAACAATGGTCAATACCCCCTGAGCAAGAGGAAAGAAAATTGATGGGGGCAGTAAGAGAATTGTTAGTTAAACTTCAGACATCATACTCAATGTTTAATACTGAAGCCCTCACCTCCTTACTAACTACGGCTGCAAATTCCTCGAATGTCAGTTCTCCAAGCATGCAGCGGTCCCAGGCAACATGGTTCTCTCCGCTTAAAATGGTTTTCCATAGCCATCCAGGCTGAAGACTGTTTCTAAATTCCCACTCTGTTGAATACAAAAAGCCAAAGTTAGAGATTATAGAATAATGGAGATGGTGGAGCTAGATTTTAGCAAATTGCAGGAATTTACTATATTTCAATATATCCCATATACTAACATATACTTTACCTACAGGCATTTCACTCCCCAAATCTTACAGTGAAGAGAGCAAAGAACCTGTTCCTGGTTCTTTCCTCCTAAAACTAAAACCCTTTAATTGGAAAGATGTAAAAGCAGCCTAAGAATAATTTAGTCTGTCCAACCGTGTCAGTCCCTTCAAAACAATCTGTGGTGTCAGCTCACTTCTTCGTTAAAAGTAGAACAGATGAGATTAGAAATGCAGAATTGCAAATGCAGTCCTTTGTCCTATCACCATATGTGAGTTGATTCAAGGATATATTTAAATGCAAGTTCGGCTTCAATTCTATCTTGCTATGTGCTTATTGTTATGTATTTTTAAAAGCTTGCAATTATTCCTATGTGAGCCAAATTAAGCTATTCACACCTAATGCTCAAAAGATTATAAGAAAAAAAAAGAAAAAAAAATCATTGGATGTAGCTTAATTCATTTTAAGGGGGACTAAAGATTGCATTTCACTTATAATTGTTTACTTAAATCAGTCCATGGCTGTCAATCCTATCTGCGCTGAATTAGTTCTTAATAGTCATGCCAAAATTTACTTTTAACCCTCGCTTAAACAATTTATTTAAAACACTATTCCATATTTACCTTTCATTTTTTTAACCTAAGAACTCTATAAAATCATGTCACCCTGTTCAATTAGAAAAGCTCAGGTTTTCCAGATTTTCTTCACAGCTCCAACATTAACTGTCAGAAATTAGTTACCTGAGCCTTCCCTGCAAAAATGTCTTTGTTTCTCAGTGCCCAGAATAGTATCTTTCCAAATTTCCACACGAGAGATTATTGAATAGTATTCAGGAGAAGCAACTTTTCATTTCTCTAGCTTGAGGGCATTAAGGCTAATTATATTGCCTGACTGTCATCCCAGATCAGATCAGTTAACTAGGCTTATACCAGGTAACAGTCAGTGAGATCCTTGTGCTCTCACGAAGCCATGAGGCAGCAGCAATCTTTCTGGTGTGCCCATTTTAGATAAAATTTGTTGTTCCGTTTAAAACAGAAGCCTGTAAAAGTTCCCTTCTGAAAGATTTTTTGAAAAGAAGACAAAGAGAATTTTTTCACATTGCTCACCAGCAGCCAATGTGGCTGGAGAAGGAATCAGAACTCCACACATATCAAAAATCACAGCCTTGTACTGCTGAGAGTTGGTGTGTTTCCATCGAGATGAGACCCACACTGGTACATGGAGATGTCTGCATGGGGACACAATATTCCATGCTTTCGCCAAGAAATATTGCGAGGCATAGCTAATTCCAAAGACACACATGTTGGTTGAACCGCTGTGGAAAGAGACAGAGATTACAAAAAAATGATACCGCAAAACAAAACACAGAAAAATATTCCTGAATGAACAGCCTAAGAATGCTGAAGTTGTTAAAGTTCAAATGCTGGATTAGGTCATGCTTACGAGTATCAGCAAAAGAAAATTAAGGAGAAAAAGTATCGGCATGAAACTGATGAGCCTAAAGGTGGAGCCCTTTTGTGTTCTCCTTTCCAACACTATATGTGGAGCAGCAAACATCAGAAGCTATAATCCCAACTATACCCGGTCATCAGTTAACAGTGACAAATTAGAAGAAAATCACAAACCTGTACGCATAAACCACATCGTAACAGCATAGTTCTAGATCTCAATGTGAAACGTTAAGCTATTGATCTCTCCAAAGATGTTGCCTAACCTGATTTTTTAAAAATGTTTTTATAATAAATAGATCTTTGTGGTTCGAATTAAATATAGAAATTCCCAACTTCTCTTATTTATAGTTAGGAACATAGGAGCAGGAGTAGGCTATTCAGCCCATTGAGCCTGCTGCATTATTCAATGAGCTGATGGCTGATTACCTTTATCAACGTGACATTCCCACACTATCTCCCTTGATGTTAGTAAAATCCAGAAATCTATTAAATTCTGTCTTGAACCAGTTAAATGACTATGATCCATCAGCCCTGTGGTACAGAATTCCAAAGATTCAACCACTGAAAGAAGAAATTCCTCCTCATCTCTGTCCTAAATGGCCTGTACCTGTGTCCCAGTTCTAGACTAGTCAGGGGAATCATTCTATCAACATCTACCCGGTCATGTCCTGTAAGAATTTTGTAAGTTTCAATTAGATCGCTCCTCTTTCTTTAAAACTCTAGAAATTACAGCCCTGGTTTTCTCAATCTTTCCTCATCGATATTCTATCATCCCAGGGATTAGTCTGTTGAACTTCTGTTGCAGTCCCTCTTTGGCTAAGATGTCCTTCCTTATACGAGCAGACCAAAATTGTATAAATTTAAGGTCTGATCGCAAATGGCAATATACAATTGCAACATAACAACTTGATTTTTGTACTGAATTCCCTTGTGAAGAAGACTAATATACCATTTGTTTTCCTATTTGTTGGCTGCACCTGCATCCTAACTTTCAGTGACACATGAACAATGCCACCCAGATCTCAGTAGCCAATAAAAATTTCAAATTTCTCACCATTTAAGAAATACTTTTTCTTTCTTTTTTCCAAAGCAGCTAGCTAACAGGACTGGACAGGTTAGAGGCAGGGAGGATGTTCCCGATGGTGGGAGTGTACAGAACCAGGAGTCATAGTATGAGGATTCAGTGTACACTATTTAGGATGGTGATGAGGAAACATTTCTTCACTCAAAGAGTGATGAGCCTGTGGAATTCATTACCACAGGAAGTAGTTGATGCCAAAACATTGAATGTATTAAAGAGGCGACTAGATATAGCACTTGGGGCGAACTGGATCAAAGGTTATGGAGAGAAAGCAGGATTAGGCTATTGAGTTGAATGATCAACCATGATCGTGAAAAATGGTGGAGCAGGCTCAAAGAGCCAAATGGCCTCCTCCTGCTCCTAAATTCTATGTTTCTATGCTATGATCTTGCCCAATCACAGAGCCTGTCCAAATCCCTCAACGCCTCCTCCTATCCTCCTTACAATTCATACTCCTAACTAGTTTCTGTCAAAGTTGGAAATATTACGTTTGGTCCCCATAACCAAATCTTATATATCGATTGTGAACAGCTTTGACCCCACTGATCCTTGTGGTACCCAACAGAAATAGCCTGGCAGCCCGACAATGAACCATTTATTCCTCCTGTCTGTTTTCTATCTGTTCTATGGATTGAGAATTGATGAATGAGGATTGAGAACTGAGAACAGGGCGACGAGCGGTTAGCACTGCTGCCTCACAGCACCAGGGCTGGGTTCGATTCCACCCTTGGGTGACTGTTTGTGTGGAATTTGCACATTTTCCCTGTGTCTGCATGGGTTTCCTCTGGTGCTCCAGTTTACTCCTATAGTCCAACACTGTGCATGTTAGGTGGATTGGCCACACTAAATTGCCCATAGTGTCCAGGTTTGTGCAGGCTAGGTGGATTAGCTATGGGAAATGCAGGGTTACAGGAATGGGGTAGGGGGTGGGTGTGAGCGGGATGCTCTTTGGAGAGTCAGTGTGGACTTGATGGGCTACTTGGCTCACTTCCACACCGTAGGGATTCTATGAAGAATATTACCTCAATCCCACGTGCTCTATAATTTTGGATACAGACCTCCTGTTATGGATTTTATCGAAAGCCTTCTGAAAATACAAATACACACAGCCACTGGTTCTCCTTTATTTCTGCTACAATTAACAATCTCAAAAACTTCAACAGGTTTGTTAGACATGATTTCCCTTTCATAAATCTATGTTGTCTATACCCAATCATATCATTATTTGCTAAGTATCTATTTATAAGATCCTTTATAACACATGCTAATGCTTTTCTTACAACTGACTTGAAACTAACAGATTAGTAGTTCTCCATTTTCTCTCTTACTCCCTTCCTAAATAATTAGATACACCTGCTACTTTTACATCTGCAGAAACTTTTCCAGAATCTAAATAATTTTAAAAGGAAACCACCAAAGCATACACTATCTCTATGGCCACCTAGTTCAATACTCCAGGATGTAGCTCACTTGATCCTTCAAGTATTTTCTCTGAGTACTACCTCTTTATCAATTTTTTTTCCAATTCTTCATTTTCACAAGTCCTTTGGTTTGCTAATATCTTCCTCTGTGAAGACATTGTATTTGTTTATTTTGTGTGTTGTCCACTATAAATTCGCCTGCCTCCACCTGTAATGTGTCCACATAATCGTTGCTAATTTTTTTCCTTTCCTGGACCTAAATAAGCTTTTCCAATCTCATCTTTCAGTTTTACACTAGCTTACAAACTTTATATTCATTTTTATCTTAACAATTTATTGATCATTCCTTTACCCACGCCCTAAATTGCTACCCAAACACTTTTTCCAGCAACCATATACACACCACTTGCTTTTATCCAAAACAGTTAATATATTGTATTAGGTTCACTTATTTCCATTTGCCTTGTTATTAAAAAAAAATGCAACAGCATTTTTTAAAAATCAACTGAAACCTTTCTCACGTTTTTCCAACGTCAGATCTCACGTTGAGAATTTAGTTGTCAGTGCTACTTGTCACTAGACAAGGATTGGGAACTTTTTTACATCTCCAACTGTAACTTCTGTTCCTTTAAGGTCAACCAGATACGCTGCAGCACTTTATATCAGATTCCTTCATTATTTAATTCCGCAATTCTGTTCAAGTTGGACCTTGTCACCTTTGCCCCCGAGAACAACTCAGCCAATATCATCACTCCGCGACGAGCACGCCAACGGCTCGCTTACATCATCACTCTGCGACAGCAACACCACAAAACCCGCGATGTCATCACACAGCGACTTAGGTGTTGCCGCTTCTCCAAACCGTTCCTCTGCCATCTTGGGAAAGGAAGGCCTATCGTTTGGGCAGAACTTGACATTTGAACAGGATATAGACCCTCTCAAGAATGGAAAGAGTTGAACAGAACAGAATGAAAGAGTGAATCTATATTAAATACGAACACTGTTTATGAAACCGCTAAGAATGGAAAAGGAAACTTACAAGTCGGGTCAGAACGTGGGGCTTTATCATAAAGATGTTGATTGAAATCCCATTCCAGGGACACAGGCTGGGTCACTTCATAGAATTCTCATCCCACTCTCCATTACATTGTAGACTGCTTTCGAGTGCATCAGTACTGCTGGGGTCTCGTCAATGGTTTTCGTCATCTCGAATTTCAATTTCAATTGCAATTGCAGCCATTCAGAAAAAGCGGTTTGTGCATATTCCCAACTCTAACACTTTTCTGAGACCACTACTGGAACATTCTACTGTACATTTTTAAAAGGGAGCAAAGGATAGACTGAGTAATTGCAAATCAATCAACCTAACTTTGTTGTTGCAAAACTACTGCACAAAATTCGGAGGGATATTATAAATCATCATTTATAGAAAGGTATGGATTTATCGAGTTAGCATAGATGTTAAGGGAAGGCTATGTATGACTAATCAAAATTAACGCTTTCAGAAAGTAACAGAGAAAGTCAATGGGATCTAATTGACATGGATTTTAACAATGCTTGTATTAAGTCCTTCATAGGAGACACGTCTGGAAAGTAAGAAACTATGGGATCCAAGGGCAAGCAGCAATTTTCATTCAACATTGGCCCGGTGACAGAAAGCAAAAGTTAATGTTTGTCAGACTTTTTTTTTTGTAACTGGGAGGCTATTTCCACTGCCTTTCACGATACTAGATGCTATGCCTTTTATGGTATATAATCAATGATTTCATTTTGTACACAAAGGATGGCGGAGGTTTGGAACTCTTCTTCCACAAATGGCAGTTGAAGCTAGGTTGGTTGTTAACTTTAAATCTGCAAAAAAAAGTTTTAACTAAAGGTATTAAGGGATATGGGTAAGTATATGAAATTAGGCCACAGATCAATCATGATCTTATTAAATGGTAGAACAGGCTTGAAGGGCTGAATGGCCCCCTCCTCTTCCTATATTCCTGAATGTAGGGAAGGTGATGAAGTTTTGCAGATATGCAAATGTTGGTCATGTGATTGATTAATACAGGAAAAAACACCTATAGGCTTCCATAAATATACTAATGGACAGGTCAGAAGGGAGTAAAGTAATAAATGGAATTTAGTTTAGAGTTGTGTCGGGGGAATATATTTTGGAAGAGCATACCATGCATTGAAGACAAATTGTAGATGGAGCAGTAGATTAGGTGGTCAGGAAGGCATACTTTTTTTTAATTAGCCATGATGTAGAAAAGTTAAGAGCAGGAGGGTCATTTCCATAATTCAGACTAGGGCTTGAAACAATGTTGGTAGATAAAGATGTGTGGGAACATCTGGAATCTCAATACTGTTGGGCTTAATAAGGAATGCTGGGAAATGAGGAACATAAAGGTTTAAGGCAAGATTAGAGTGGGGTGGCTTTAATTACTAGGCTGTCAGTCTTTACTTGTCTTGCCGGACTCTGCCAAGCACAACCAGCATTGCCTTCCCTCCTTGTGCAAAATCATGAATGTGTAATTGAAATGATAAATGAATATGACCACTCACAAAATGGGTGAAATAACTCTCTTTTCTTCCTTTTTGAGCATGTGGAGTCTATGAGCAATTTAAGGCCTTTCAAGGACAATTGCATTAATCAGGCACTTGCACAACACTGTTGAAGACATTTATAATCATAGTATCCTGGTACTCGTTGTCCAAATTGTGGGTTACAAATCCTGGTTTAAGCAATCTTGAGCATGTCATTGGTCACTACAGATTGAAGCTAGTCATCTCTGTGAAGCAATCACAGGTGACCTTAAAAGTCTCAATTGCAGGCCATATGCAAAAAGATAGTCCATGATTTTATAGGCTGTACAAGGGCATTGTTTTCTTCTTACCTTGAATTGTAAGTATTCTTCAATATGCTGTTGTATGCGCTTCTTGGGTGATGTGGGGGAATAAAGTAACAGTAATCCTACAGTGCTGTCAATTTCCTAATATATTTGCTTATCACAGCTTGTGCTGCATACGTCAGAATAAGATCCCCTATATCAAGGTCTGTGGAGAAACATTCCATGGTCCTCCTAACTGGGATTCCTGCTAAACTATCATGTGTGTGGTGTGAACACTGCCTGCTCACTTCATTAAGCACCTGTTCTATTTCTGTCATCCCCTATGCACAATTGTGGCCATAATTGCTATAATCATTAATTGACTATAAATTTACTGTTGCTTTTGTGTGCACACTTTACAGCGCTGTTATAGACAATGCTATGAGTTGGAATAAGCATTTTTACTCTTGATTTGTTTGATTGTTGTATTTTAGTTATGAAAATATGTGTATATACCTTCTATTGGATGCTCTGATTTCTTGCTTACAAAAAGAAACAGACTAAAGCTTTATCTATACGTTTTAGGTGAATTCCTTTATCACTGTTGAACTTTTGAATTGAAGATGGTCAAATTGGATGATGAAAGAAGTAGGTAAATCTCTGACTCAATTGGAATTGTAACTCTATCCTGTTTCTACCCAACAATGGGAGCTAACATTGCTATTAATATTTAAGATGAACAATAAAAGAGTATAGAATATGAATATATATCAGTCTTTAGAACTCAACTATTTGACCAACCTGTTACATTTTGTGACAATGTAAACTTCAGAACTTTAATTCTTTCAATCCAAGAAGTTATCAGCAATAACTCTTTCTGGAGTAAACTGTTCCCTGAGATGAAAGGGACAAGGAGAAACTCTTATAAAGAAATTAAAACCAACTTGCTAATTTCCCATCCCTAGGAAGAAGGAGTTAAAACAACACAAAGAAGCTGTTTCCTAGGACAGAGGAGGTAACAGTGCTTGATAATGTGCTGCCTCATTACAAATGGGCAATTAAGACTGCCTGTGGCAGGAACGCCTTGAAGTAAATGGATAATTGGAGAACAGGCTGTTTCATACAGACAGCTAAAACTCAATGTAACAAGGAACAAGGGAGCTACTTCTGATAAGAAGACAAGCTGCAGACTTGAGGTCTCCAGAAGAGTAATCCGTGCTTGGGATGAGAGAATCTAAAAGGTCATCAATAATGTCCTGCCACAAACTTGAAAAAGAGAAAATTGTATAATTCTATGAAAGATCTATGAAATCCAACATCAGAACAATTCAATAGCTGCACAAGGATCGAACCCTGGACACTTCCAGAGACAGGAGCTATTGGTGGAATTGTGGCTAAATTCCACCATTACTTGGGTAATAGCTGTGTTGGGTTGTGAGGCTTAACTTGCTTACTTGAGGACTCTTCTTTTGGTTGCTACATTCAATTTGATTTGATTTATTGTTATCACGTACTGAGGTATGCAAAACAATACTTTTCACTGTGCTATACAGGCAAATCATACTTTACATAAGTACATCGGGGTGATAGAACAGAATGCAGAATATAGTGTTAACACCTACAGAGAAAGATCAACTCTAATCTATGAGAGTTCTTTCAAACGCCTGATAACAGCAGGGAAGGAGTTGTTCTTGAATCTGGTGCATGTTTCAAACATGTATCTTCTACCCGATGGAAGAGAGTACAACTGGGATGGGAGGGGTCTTTGATTATGTTGGCTGCTTTCCTGAGGCAGCAGGAAGTATGTGTGAAAGACTGATTTGCGTGATGAGCTTAGTTGCATTCACAACTCCTTAATTTCTTGTGGGCTTTGGGCAGAGCAGTTGCCATACCAAGCCGTGTTGCATCCAATAGGATACTTTTTATGGTGCATCTATAAAAATTGGTAAGGGTCATTGTGGACATGCCAAATTTCTTTTTTTAGCCTTCTGAGGAAGTAGAGGTGCTGGTGTGCTTTCTTGACCATAGTGTTGACATGGAAGGACTGGGACAAATTGTTGGTGACATTTACTCCTGGGAACTTGAAGTTGTTGACTATCTCACTTCAGCACCACAGATACGGACAGTGGTGTGCCCTGCACTCCGCTTTTTCCTTAAGTTGATGACCAGCTCCTTTGTTTTGCTGACCTTGAAGGAGAGCTTGTTCTCTATACACCATGCAACTAAGCCCTCTGTCTCTCTTTCCTGTACTCTGTCTGGCCGTTGTTTAAGATCCAATCCACTACGGTGGTGCTGTCAGCAAACTTCTAAATGGAGTTAGAGCAGAATTTAGCCACACAGTCGTGAGTCTGTAAGGAGCATAGTAAGGGGCTGTGTGCGCAGCCTTACAGAGCATTGATGTTGAGGATTATGGTGGAGGAAGAGTTGTCACCTATGCTTACTGATTTGTGGTTTGTGGATCAGGAAGTTGAGGATCCAGTTGCAGAGGGAGGAACAGAGTCCTAGGTCTTGGAGTTTGGAGATGAGTTTTGTTGGAATTATGGTGTTGAAAGTAGAGCTAAAGTCAATAAATAAGATGTAGATGTCCTTGTTATCCAGAATTTTCAGGTTGAGTGTAGGGCCAAGTAGTTGGCATCTGCTATCAACTGATTGCAACTGTAGGCAAATTATAGTGGATCACAGGTGTGTCATTACTAACCCATCAAAGCATTTCACAATGATGAATGTCTGAGCCACTGGGTGGTAGTCATTAAGACACGCTGCCTTTTTTTTTCTCTCCTTCGGTACTGGGATGATGGTGACCTTTTTTGAGGCAGGTGGGACTCTCTGATCAGAGTAGGGAGAGGAGAAAGATGTCTGTGAATATGCCCGCCAGTTGGTCCACACAGGATGTGAGTGCATGGCTGGGAACTCCATCCAGGTGAGTCGCTTTCAGCGGGGTCACTGAAGAAGGCCAATCTAACTTCTGCAGCGGTGATTCTGAGGTTGTCAGGGCAGGTGATATCACTTTACTGACCTGCCATTCAAAACAAGCATAGAATACATTTGAGCTCATTGGGGAGGGATGCGTAGTTGCCAACAATTCTACTCTACCTCGCTTTGCAGCCTGTCTGTATCAGGTAAGCACTGTTTCAGTACTACGTCTTTGTCTCAGATTTCTTAATAAGCAGCCAAATTAAAGGTAGCTTCTGATTTACCCACAACAATTTCCAATACCATTTTTGTCTTGTGCTACTAAAGTATTTAAAGACATTTTTTCGTTTTCTACACTAACCATGCTACATGTGTGTAATTTGTTGCTATATACTGCTGGCAACTAAAGCTACAGGTTGCTCACTTCTTGCAATTCCCTGTGCAACAAAACTAGGTTCTGATGTCATTCTAACTACATTATTAAACTTAAGTGGTACACCTATCAAAGCTTGTACTGCGTTTTGCCAGTTAATTACTTAGAACTGTTTAAATGTCTACAATACTATTTTGACCAATCTTTAAGGTGTGTGCCTTTTTGTATTTTAATCTGACTGTCAATTTCAGACACATGATGAATTATGGATTTTCCTTTCATAGAAAACTAATAATTTTACTTCTACTTTATACCCTTCTGCACTTAAGGAAAACTAGGTGACACACACATACTCTTTGGGTGTCAATGGTCTTCAGATATCTTGGGTAAAAGGTGTTTTCTTATATTCCATAAGATGTAAGAGCAGGCATAGGGCATTTGGCCTATCAAATCTGCTCCACCATTCAAATGAGATCACGTTGATCTGATAACCCTCAATTCTACTTTCCTGCCTATTCCCATTAACTTCTCTCTGTTCTCTTACCACTTAAAAAGCTGTCTATCTCAGCCTCTATATCCTTCTGTAGTAAAGAAACACACAGGTTTAATAATCTCTGAGAGGAAATGCTTTTCATCCTTGTCTTAAATTCACAGTAAGGGGTTGCTTATTTATGCCCAAGTGGTCAAAGACTCCCAAAAGGAAAATCAATCTCTCTGCATCTACTCCCCTTAGAATCATAAATGTTTCAATAACCTCTCCTCTCATTATTCTAAACTCAAATGTATGCAAGCCTCAAACTCTCCTCATAAGAAAATCCCTCAACCCGGAGAAAGTTTCTCTGGACTGCCTCCAATACCTTTCCTTAGATAAGGGACTAAAACTATTTCAATACGAGCAGGGCCAACCAATGTAAAACATCAGTCAGCAAAACCAAAATAATATTGAATTATAATGAAAAAACATCAGAGGGGAAATTAGAGTCTGATCTCAATGCACAAACCATAGCTTGCATATGGTGTGTTACGTTATCACTAATCAACAAGAGGCATGTTCAAATACTCACAAGAAGGGTGCCAAAAAGTAAATGTTTTCCTGATGTCCCCTGGAAGGTATTGCTCAATTTTAAAATTATGCTCCCATATCAATGAGGGATGGACAAAAATGTTGGCCAAACCATTGATGTCCACATTCCATGAGTGAATAACAAAAAATAGTCTGGACTTTTTCACCAGAGAAAATACTTTCTGTCTACCCTCAATTCCTTTTAATCCTATTAGAAACCTCAGATCCATTAATTCCTCTTTTAATCTTCCACAAACCAAGGAACACAAGCCTAATTTACAGTCCTTTTATATTTCAACTATTTTATCCCATATCATTCTGCTGAATCCACACTATACAACCTCCAAGAGAAATGTATTTTTTTCTGACATGCACAGAACTGAATGCAGTATTCAAATGGACTCTAAGCAGAGATTTGCATAACTACCAGTTAAATTATTTGCATTGTATTCAAACCCCACTTCATCCCATTAGCCTTTTTAATTTTCTTTTCAATGTACCCACAAGCTTTTAGTAATTTCTGCATTTTTGGATCCTAAAATTTCACTTCACCTTTTTACACAGTTTCTATCTTCGTAGCATTTAGAAAATACTTTAACATGTCTCTTCTCGAGTTCAACCTGGATTACCTCTCTCTTTTCCACCTCAGGAGGACAGAGAGTGACAGTTCAATGAGGAAGTATTGGGCACACTTCCCTGCAAGTAAGGTGGAGAAAGCCAAAGCTGTTTAGTTCAGAGAAGCAAAGAGTTTGAAGCAGTGACAGTGGATAATCAGGGCAATTAGCCATGACGGTTACAGCATACACCTAATGCCTAGAAGAAATTGTGTCCTTATGTGGCTAGTCAAAGCAGGAAGTGTAAGCATCTTGAGAATGCACTATGGAATGCATGTCATCCATCAGTAATGACTTCCTCTCACTGGTAAAAGTTCTTTAAATTGTTTACCTGAGCAAAATGGTGTCTTGTACACCTGACCCTTCACCTTATTGTAGTTCAACCCAATCTTGTATACTATTTGTGTGAAGAAAATTTTTAGATTTGAATTGATATTCCATCACATCCACTGTCAGCTATTTTCATTCTTTAAAAATAATCCAACTTAATAGAGTGGGGGAAAAAAAATGAAGAACCTCATTTTAAGCAACAGGAATTAAGACCCCAGGAAACAACAATTGAAAAATAGTACTCCAAGTGGGAAACTGAATAGACTAGATGTAACTGAATGTGTAAAGGCAGAGAGGAAGAATGTGGAAATGGTTGAATAAATAAGATTCATTTTAGAATAACTTCTTTTTCTTTTCATTCTGAAGTGAGGTGCAATTTCTTAGAATAAGGCAGTTTGCCTTAGATATGAAGTGCCAAATATTAAGTCAAATGTCTGTTTTAGACTAGATTCCCTACAGTGTGGAAACAGGCCATTCAGCCCAACAAGTCCATACCAACCCTCTGAAAACCATCCCACCTAGACCATCCCCAATCCCCTACCCTACCCCTGTAACCCTGAATTTCCCATGGCTAAGGCACTAACATAGACATCCCTGAACACTACAGGTAATTTAGCATGGCCGATCCACCTAGCTTGTGGAAGGAAACCTGAAAACCCAGCAGAAACCCACACAGATACAGGGAGAATGTGCAAACTTCATACAATCACCCAAGGGTGGAATTGAACATGGGTCGCTGGTGCCGTGGTGCTGATCACTGAGCCACTGTGCCACCCTCTTGTATTCATAGTCCCCCTGTTTTCTTTTGAGTAAATGTGTGATTGGAGATTGGCTTGAAGACAACAGAAATCAACTCTAGGTTGTCCTGTAGTTTGAATTTATTAATGCAAAAATAAGTAATTCAGATAAAATACTCCTTGAGAATATGGCAGTTAATTCTTGTATTGCTGGGAACAACGAGACACCATCTGTAGAAAAGCGATCAGTGGACAGGCCTAAATACTGGAAATGTGAGGCTGAATTAAATTTGAATTTGTAATTCTGTGTCAAAAGCTGTTTTGGTGTAGAACTTGGAAATTCCTCCAAAAGCAAATCCCTTTTGGGGCAAAGGGGTAATCGAGTTCATGCAAAACAGATTTAAGAAAATGATTAGAATAATCCAAATAGCTTTTCCCAATAGATCATAAGTCAGGAGAAACAAACTTTCTTTTTAATTGTATCTGGATAGTGAGAAACCGTATCCATGGTTTCTAGGAAAATAACTGAGCAAAATCCTTGAGAGTGGAGGTGAATAAAAGATTATGTAAGAAATGTTTAAAAGAGCAAAAAAAACCTGGAACCAGTAAATAATTATTGTTTTAAGGACTTGGACTGTATACATATAAAGGAAAACCTCGACATAGACCTCATTGACTGAACAGCCAGCTTTTCTGCTGTAAAGGTCCATGATTCATTATCGTTGAAATGAATTCTGTGTGTGTGTGTGTGTTTGTACCCATCATCAGGTTTAAAACTGCATTTAATTATTGGATTTGTCCAGGTCTCAATTATATATTTATCTTCTAATCAACCTGTTCAGATGTTATTATGTGCCTCTGGAACAGGTGGTAACCTGGGCCTTTTGGCTTAGAAGTAGCTTCTTACAATTATAGACTTTCCAGTATTCTTGCATCTTTGTGCCATTTGAAGTACTTGTCCAGAATAGTTCCAAAAAAATCAATGGTGATCGCAAATTTGTTGAATGAATGTTACTTTAACAGTCTAGGTGGCAGCGGCAATTAAAGAATGATACTGGTGAGATCTCAGTGACTTGGCTAGAGTTAATGATGTTCTGATGCTTGACATTCATAATCAAAGCAAATCCACTGCAGCTGTTGTAATCAGATTTAAAGGTATTGTGTGATTTGTAATATGCTTTGTATATATTAATCTGATAACACATTTCAGGCCATAATCCTAAATGCTGAATGCAGACAAGACTAAAAGATCATAGATTTTTACTTCATTTGTTAGTTTATTTTAAAGGCAATTCTTGAAATATTTTGCAAAATAAGTACACTTTCCAAAAGTTGAAACCATGAAATTTACATTTACAAACACTAGTTCAATAAAGGTCAGAAGACGACCCAATAAGATGCACATAATAGAGATGACTTTTTGCCCCAACGTCTAGTACTAATTACTGCATTACCTTAAGTGAAAAACTAAAGCTGGACAGATGTAGAAAGCTCTTGTCAAAATCCTCAAACATCTTTGTGGAGCTGGAGAGAAATGTCTCAGTTCCTCTTGTACCTGAGGAACTTACTCGGTGTCACCTTATCCCCACATGTTCATCTGCCTCAGAAGTTAATGGTACTAGCAGGGGGTTTGAAGGGTGTGACAATATTTGAGGTTTAGTAGTCTAGTGGATAAAGGGTGGATTTTTTTTTTACATTTTGAAAAAGTGAAAGTTTCACTGGCTTTGTCTCCAGCAGGAATTAGATCTACATCTCCCTGAAGTAAGGTTGACATTAGGCAGCTATTGATAGCCACCTAACCACAAACTGTAAATTGAACATTATATAAGTTAATGTATACTGGTAATTCATTGTATTTATAAATAATCATCCTGGTGTCACAAACTGTGACTGTAAACGCATAACACTTCATTACAGAATAAGTTGTATTCAGGAATGTAATGAAACAATGTAAATGCAGCTCAGGTTTAAAAACACAGAAATGACATGATAAAGTACTACTATTATCAAAGTTATTTCCCTCCCTCCCAAAAATACAGACAAATAAAAAAACTTGCATTCCCATGTGATTCTAACCAAAATTTCCTGATACATGCCAGGCAGCAGCTCAAATGATATAGTTTTAATAATAACAGGTTTACAGGTTTTCTTTTAAAAAAAAATTTTAAAAACTAATAATCTTGAATTTAGAGGCAAATTTGAAATTATCAAGAAAGAAACAAACTCATAGAAAAGCCCAATATGATTCTATTTGACACAGGTGAATTGATTACAATCTGGGAGGCAGTTTCAAATTGAAATGAAGTCTCATTCCTTTTTGCTGATCCTAGTTGAAGATAAACACCCTCAAATTTCTCCCTGTATCAAGTAAAAATCTCCTGGTTCTCCTTGGGCCACAACATGGCTGTGAGACCATTGTTTTCTCTTCCACAAAACTGCTCCTGGAAAGCCATTAAGAGTTGTGCGATTTGAAGGCAATTCTTCAGCAAATCCAAAATCACCCATCAGCCTAAGTGGCTTTATCATTCCTGAGATCAACGTACCTTCACCTCCACTCAGTTACACAGTAGAAAGACAGCCTTGCATTTGTATAGTATTTTTCACAACTACCCAATGTCTTAAAGCACTTCACAGTCAAAATACAGTGCCTAATTGGGAACTCAGCAAACCTGTGTCCCGACTCGCAGCATTTCTGTTAATTTTAAACTGCAAATGGCTGTCCTAGATCTTGGATTAAAACAATGAATATTCATTGCACTGGATTGAAAACTAAAAATTGTATTGCATGCTTACATAGTTACAAAAGACGATACAGGTAGATTCTGGATCTAACTTTTTAAAGAATACATTCAAGTTTACTTTCTAACAGAAATTAATTTAAAGCACTGCACAACAGATCTTTTAAGTTGTTAGACAGGCTGAAGGTCAGTGTTAACTGTTTTGTCGGACTCCCAGATTTAAGATACCCTTTTTTTTTTGTGTTATCATTCCCTCCTCTCCTGAAATTAAATTCATTGGATGCCAGACATTGGCTGATAACACATTTGAAGTGTATTAGGAGTGGACTGTAGAACAGCCTTACCTGCCTATGTCCATCATCCATATATTAGCACCTGCAACAGGGCAGTCTCAGGATAATGATCAGCAGAGGGAACACTGGCTGATTCCCTTCACAAACCCAGGAGCAAAGCCAACTGTAGCTCTAGGCAAAATTGATTATCTGGGCATATTTGTCATCAACTAGAACATCAGGAGAGATACCAGCTACTAACAATGCTGAGTCAACAAGGAGTTGACAATGAGGGACAAACTGCATTTCCTTGTGGCTTTACTAGAGCTTTAGTAAAACGGAATGATGTGAAATTTGTTTAGACATTTTTGGTGAAGGAAGATAAGTTTTTATGATCTCTCACCTTTTTTGGTCACACTAGAAATAACAATGACTTTGAGATTTTTTTTAAAAATCCTAATTGTAATTTTTCATTTTAAATGAGATTGATCTTTGATTTTGTTAGTTAAAACAATTGGCATACAGAAATCAAATTGGCCTGGTGGTAGTCTGCGAAGATATATCTCTGCAGGTTTGAGGGACACAATAATTAGATGAAGCTTTTTCAGGTGGGATATGAACTGTGTAGTTAATGTACCATACAGCACTAATGAACTATCATGCTCACTGCCAATAACTTCCCTGGGAATCTTTTCATGCAGGGATTGAATATAATTATATTCCACACAATTCCAAGACAAAGTTAAAGGTTAAAGTCTGTCACCATAGCACCAGAATGTGTCCTTTTTTTTGTTTTAAAGTCACGCCAGTGTAAGCAAGGAATATTTCAGTGAAACTAATTTTCTCCAACACCTCTTTTTGTAAGTTTTTAATAAAATTATATGCCAGTTTCTTCAGTGAGGTCATTGCTGTCATGCATGGCAGAACATGAAGGGCTGTATATACCGGATGTTAATTTGACCATTTGTTCCCAGTTTTCGGTTGGAATTACATCAGCAACTGGAGATACTGAAGAATGAAGGCGCTGAAAGACAAGGGAAGAAAATCTGTTTTATTTACATTTAACATGATCTGTTCAAAGTTCATAAACTTTATGACCGTGAGTTTTCATAACATAGGCCCAATGTCTTGCTGCAACCTCAAAAGGAGGACTCTATATAAATTTATATTCAAGGTAACGGTTAGTCTTTTACATCATTCTGCCTGGCTTTCACCATTTGTCTCCACAATAAATTCAGACATGCTTTCCAATACTCAATTTTTTTCATAGGAATCACAGAATCCCCACGGTATGGAACCTAGACCCGTCCCTCTACCCTGTCCCTGTAACCTGCCATTTCTTGTGGCTGATGCATCTAACCTACACATCCCTGAACACTATGGGAAATTTAGCATGGCCAATCGAGCTAATCGATCTTTGGACAGTGGGAGGAAACCACAGCACCCAGCAGAAATCCACGCAAACATGGGGAGAACATGCAAGCTCCACATAGACAGTTACCCAAGGTTGGAATCGAACCTAGGTCCCTGGTGCTGTGAAGCAGCAATGCTAACCACTGAGCAACCGTGCTATCCTTCATTCCTTTAGGAGCTGATTGTGGACATTATTTCACAAGTACCAGTAGCCTGTGAAAGAATAGGCAATGCTCCCAGCCTGGAATTGAATACTGAGTTGTCACAAAATTCCTGATCACAATAAATGATTATATTGTTCACAACTCTATTCTCTGCTCATACAAGTGAGAAGCTAGTTCTTAATTTAGTTTCTAGCATATTTTCCTTTTTCCCAAAAACATCAGCATCTCCACAATAGTTATAGGAATGCAAGTTGCATTCTTTGCCTCCACAAATATCCACTCTTAATAGTAAAGTCCATTCTGTGAACTGCAGAAGAAACTTTAGTTGTTTTAACTCTAGCAATGCCCAGTGCACACTTGAAGCAATCTTGGCACTTGCCAAATTGAATATAAACTCCAAATTTGGGTTGAGTGGCGAGTAGATCAAAGGGAAAAACCATGCATTCCATAACTGGCAAACAGTATCTTGTGTGGAATTCTCACCACAGATTCATAAGTATGAAACAAAAACAAAAATTGCTGGCAAAACTTGCCATGTCTGGGAGTAGCTATGGGAAGAAAGCCAAGATAACATCAAGCACGGTGACTAGTCAGAGCATACAAGCATGAAAATTGCTTCTGCACGTAGAGGAGAAATGGTTGCAAATCTATTTTTAAAAGTTTTATATAAATTTCCCACTTCTGTTCATTATCCAAGGAGACTCAAAAGTCTTTATAATGAATATACTTAAATTGAACAGAAGACAATCTGCTGACAATCATTTGCTTCCACATGAGTAGCTATTTTCACTGATTGTCATTGCTTGTGTGAACTAATCAGTGCTTTCAAGTGGGGCTACTATGGAAAGAAAATGCGTTTACACAAGTTTAGTTTGACTATGCTGTTACCTTGGTGTGTAGGGGAAGGTGAATGACATAATAATGTTGCAATATTTTTACCAGTGCAACAGCAATGGCTCATTACTATGCAATATGGCAGCAAGTGCAATGCTTTACAGCAATAGTTATACATGCAGCACAATGAAATCACTTCTCCACTCTCCCTTTCTTTGCTCTCACCTGAATAAATGAGCCTTTGCTAGTATACAATGTGTGTGCAGCTCCAATTGGGATCCAGATGATTGAACAGACAGAGACAATCCAGCCGATACCCTCTGCCCATGGAGGATAGGTGTACGCTTTACCATATCGGGCAGGGCTGTAGCGAATTATGCTGGACACAAGGATAACCTGCAGGAAATCAACATCTAGGACATTAGTGGCCAACTCTCTCTGGAATATTGAAGAAAAATTCTAAGTTTGTGAATATCCCAATCTAATTTTAGGATGAATGGATCAGATGAAACATTTTGTCACGTTTCCACTCCCCACCATCAACAGCAGTAAGATGCTTAGAGAGTATAGTTCTATAGTTGCTGATCACTCTCTGCCAACTTGTCTAGGTGATCATTCTTCACCACAAGTTATTCTTTCGCACCCCAACACCCCCACCCACCAAAAAAAGTCTTCTGATTTCCAAGTGTGTTCCCCTTGGCAGAACATGGTCCAGTTATGACAGTATCACCATCACTTCACTTGTCAACTAAGCTCAGATGTGATGCAAGCTGGGACATTCCAGATCTATGGGGTCTAGTCCCACAACCTTCAAAAGAAATAAAACCTATTCACACACTAATTGGTGTTTTCTGTTTTGGCAATCTTGTCTGACCTTTCATTCTCTATATTCCTTTGTTACCTGCTTCCAGTCTTGGGCTTTCAATGTGTTTGATCCACCTGTTCCCCTTAAAAACTGTATTTCTCGCTGGTTTGCTGCTCTGTAGCATGATTAGCCTTTCACAAACAGGCACTCAGGGTTCTGATGAAAGGAATGTTCTAAAATGTTAATGTATCACTTTTCTCCCTTTAGCTGCTGTTGACCTGCTGAAAGAATGATTCTATTGTTTGATTTTTCTCTTCTTTCAGATTTTCAGAGTCTGTAATATTTTGGGGTTTTGTGGCACTCCCTCATTGGAGACTGCAATACCGAATAATAGCCTTCTTTCTTGAGATGCTATTCTGAGGTCTAAAGAGGAAATCTTGATTGTTTTGACTTAACTCCTGAGATTTTTGATTTTTAAAAACACTTTTCTTAAAAAAAAATAATTTGTCACAAACATTTTTCAGTGTGCCAGACATGAAAGAATATGAACACAGAACATAGAACAGGTCAGCACAGTACAGGCCCTTCGTCCCATGATGTTGTGCCAACCTATTATCCTACTAAGATCAATCTACACTGCATATCCCACATTTTACTATTCTCCATGTGCCTATCCAAGAGTCGCTTAAAAGTCTCTAAATTATCTGACTCCACTACTGCCAGCAGCGCATTCCACACGCCCACCACTGTCTGTGTAAACAATCTACCTCTGACATCTCCCCATACCTTCCTCCAATCACCTTAAAATTATGCCCCCTCGTAACAGTCATTTCCGCCCTGAGGAAAAAGTCTCTGACTATCCACTCTATCTATGCCTCTCATCATCTTGTATACCTCTATCAAGTCACCTCTCATCCTTCTTCGCTCCAATGAGAAAATCCCTAGCTCCCTCAACCTTTCCTCATAAGACCTGCCCTCCAGTCCAGGCAGCATCCTGGTAAATCTCCTCTGCACCCTCTCTAAAGCTTCCACATATTTCTTATAATGAGGTGACCAGAACTGAACACAATATTCCAAGTGTGAGTTTTATAGAGCTGCAGCATGACCTCATGGCTCTTAAACTCAATTTCCCTACCAATGAAAGCCAACACACCATATGCCTTCTTTACAACCTGTCAACTTGGGTAGCAACTTTGAGGGATCTATGGACGTGGACCCCAAGATCCCTCTGTTCCTCCACACTGCCGAGAATCCTGCCATTAACTCTGTATTCTGTATTCAAATTCGACCTTCCAAAATGAATCACTTCACATTTTTCCGGGTTGAATTTCATCCGCCACTTCTTTGCCCAGCTCTGCATCCTGTCAATGTCCTGTTGCAACCTACAACAGCCCTCCACACTGTCCACAACTCCACCAAACTTCGTGTCATCGGCAAACTTACTAACCCACCCTTCCACTTCCTCATCCAAGTCGTTTATAAAGAGCAGAGGTCCCAGAACAGATCCCTGCGGAACACCACTAGTCACCAAGCTCCAGGCTGAAAATTTTCCATCTCCTACCACCCTCTGTCTTCTATTGGACAGCCAGTTTTGTATCTAGACAGCCAAGTTTCCCTGAATCCCATGCCTCCTTACTTTCTGAATGAGCCTACCATGTGGAACCTTATCAAATGCCTTGCTAAAATCCATATATGCCACATCCACTGCTCCACCTTCATCGATGTGAACTCAAGGTTGACTGGGTTTCTTTTTTTTTTTGTACAGAAGCAACTCTTTCAAGCAAGAGACCTCTTTAGAAATCAACTGGAGTCCAATGACACATGTAGAATTCTGACTGCCATTTTGTTAGACAGTTGGGTGAAGCATGTACTTAATGCCTGACTTAAATCAGCAGAAGATTTGCCACAGTATTTTTGAGTTTAAAATTGTTTTGGTGGGAACAAGAGGTGCTTCTTGGAATTCCAGAAATTAATGCAAGGTTGGGCTGTCAAACCCTCACCAACTCTTATCTAAAAGTCAATTTCACACAGTACAAATTTCACAATTTGTATGAGGATTCCCTGCAAGTGAAGTAGTTTAAATTTCCCTCCACTTCAGGAAATCCTATGGATGAGAAAAGGTTATTAGAAAAGGTGAACTACTCACTGTGACAAGCAGTGGAGAAGCAACCCACCAGCACAGCTTGAAAAAGAGATTTGGCGGGGCTCCCAGCATTTCCTTGTAATTGGCAGATAATCTACGGACGCCTAAAATAAAATCAAAACCGGAATCAGAGTCTTGTTCAACAAAAAAGATTCTGTTTTAAAGGTAATGTGTGTCCTCAACTCAATGTTGACATAAGCCTAAATATTACTGTGACCACTACTTCTGCTCAGTCAGTCACTTATTCATCGTTCCCCTGCTTAGCAATAGAATGGTTGGTTGAAGAAAGCCTGATCCCAGAGATTATCCCTGAAAATGCTGTCACCATGTTACTTATCAGAGTAAGTTTCTAATTGCTGTGCAGTCATGTGACACTGAAGAGGATATTGACTTGTGATCAGGACACCTATTTTGTGACCTGAAGGAGAGAATTATACGTGGAAATATCCTCACTCAAACTCTGTAAAATCACAAATTCTGAAAACTTTTTCCCCACTCATGGGACATGGGCACCACTGTGGCTTGGAGGGGAACTTGCAGGTGTTCCCATGCATCGGCACCCCTTGTCCTTCTAGATGGAAGTGACGGTAGACTTGTAAGATGTGGTCTAAGAATCTTTCGAATTTTTGCAGTGCATCTTGTAGTACATAACACTGAGGCTGTTTTTTTGACAAGTCTGTAAGACAGCTCTCCCAATTTTGGCACTTCCCACAGTGGAGGACTCTTTAGAACTGATAGGGCTGTTTTTGCCAATGTCATTTTTGGTGGTTAGGTTGGTGCATCCAGTTTAAATTCTTTGTTGAGACTTTCGTAGCAATTGTTACAACTGAGCAGCTTGCGAGGGCATTTGAAAGTCAACCACATTGGGGGTAATGCAGTGGCAAACAGTACAAAGCAGACGCATCTCACTGTCTGAATTGCTATTTCAACCTAGAAAGTGTCTACAAACATTTTATGACATTACAGGAAAATTAGTTAAAGGAGATCACAGAATCATGCAAGAAAATATGTTTTGAGTGAGGGATGCGTATGTAATAATGTGAAATGTGTATATAATAATATGAAATGCATCACAGCTTATTGGTTGAAGACTAATGCTTGTGAGGGAACATAACTGGTAACAATTGGAATGTAGCAACTGTGCAGTGCAACAACCCAGCATCGCACATCTGCACAAATGTTAGAGGCAACACTGCTGAGGATTCAACCATTGACATGGATGGAGAGAATGAGCCAACAGTCAGAAAAGCTTAGAATGTAAGCAAGAGTGATAGAGATGGAGGCTATTTCACAAACTAGGTTGAATGTGGCGATTTACAGACCAATGGACAACTATTTTCTTTAAATTAACTGAGTTGGCTATAGGGTGATTAACCATGTAATCAAAATGTTGCAATAACAAAATTCTGGAAGAAATTGAATATTACCATATCCCTTAATTATCTTTGCCACTTACAAGGTGCTGAACATGCACAACAGATTTTATTTTCCATAAATGGCAGTGCCCTCTTTCCCCTGAAATGAATAATTCATTACATGTTCAACACATATTGTGAGGATCATCCTTGGACTTCAGCATGTGACTGCATTTGTAGAGTAGGAACTAGATGTTTAAAAAAGCTTGTAATTATTTGTCACGTTTCATGATCACTGAGGGTTTCAAGTGCTTTTCGAACCAATCAAGTACGTTTTAAGTAGAATCGCTGCTGAAATGTAGGAAACTCAAAAGTGCAGTTTTATATTTGGGAAGTATTCATTACTGGTTCAAAGTTAATAAAAGGTTCATTTGTAATCTATGTGCAGTCTTTTGCACAGATAACTGGGCTCATCAGTGTTAGTTTACACCATGTCAGATGGAGGAAAGAAACAATGTGGCAAAGAAATGCAAGTGGATGGAGTACAGGATTAAGAGTTAGCTGAAGTAATAGAAGGGGAAGGACTGTCATACGGGTATATAAGGCATAGTAGCAGGCAAATAAATGATGGTGAGACAAAATGAAAATTGTACCATAAAACCAGCAAATGGCCACAACTTCAAAGAAAGCCAGGAACATGAGAGAGACGACAGCTGTGTAATGATCCATCAGTTGGAATACATAAATTCCACCCTTTTAAAACAAAATGCATAAGTTACTTAATTACCTCAAGCTTTACAGAAAGATGAATTCACATTTCCAATTGCAGTTTTAAACATTTAAAAAAAAATACAATATACTAATAGCAGGAAATACTGCAAACACAAAAGTTTGTTGTCATCAAAATCTGAAAAGGGAAATTACTTTCATGTAGATCTGTCCACTTTTTGTTTAGATTTTCAATATTCACTGTTTCTAACTTTTAACCTGTACTGTCAGATAGTGGTGAAGCTTGATAGCCATGTGCCTAGCAACCTATCCACAGGGTCCTTTTTGGGAAGTTAGTGAATGTTGGCATTGCAGCTTCCAGAGGTTTAGCAGAATTTGTCACAAGATCTTCACAAGCCCAATTCCAAGACTGTGCTAAGTGAATACAACTAAGGAAATTCTATCTTTCCTGGAACCAACATGTTGTGTGGTAGGGGAGACCATAAAATGCAAGGGTACTAAGCTGCTCATCACCTGTACTAGTGCTTAACTGGTGACTGAGATCTCTGTTTATAATAACTGACTACCATTGTTTAAACATCAAGGTATTTCTGGCTATTTTACTAGAGTATTAGTTTGCTGGATGAAGATAGATAATAACTGCTGATGTTGATATAGCAGAAGGAATTGAGGATACCTGGGTGATGTTTGGAATTCCAAGTATGAAAGCGATAAAACAAATGAGAAGAACCACAATCTCTTTGCGCTTGAAGAAATAAAGCAGGTTCTTTCCCCAGGCATCCATCAAACTGGTTACCATCACCTCCACCATAGCAAACTACAAGAAGGGAAAGGAGTATATATTAATGAAAAACACAAAATTTAATTTAGAGTCTACTGACTCATTCAGTTCAAGTGTGTCAGTACCAGTCGAAGAGTTACCCATTCAACTCCCAATTTCCAGTTCTGGGTGTGTAGCCTTGACCCCTCTGCAAAAGGATATAGGTCCTTCCTATCCACCCAATCCAGGCCCCTCAGTATCCTAAATGGGCGTGTGGAATGCGCTACCGGCAGTGGTAGTGGAGTCAGGTACCTTTAGAGACTTTTAAGCGACTCTTGGATAGGCACACTGGAGGATAGTAAAATGTAGGGTATGCAGGATAGATTGATCTTAGTAGGATAATAGGTCGGCACAACATCGTGGGCCGAAGGGCCTGTACTGTGCTGTAGTGTTCTATGTTCTATGAAAGAGCTGCGGATGCTGTAAATCAGGAACAAAAACAAAGTTGCTGGAAAAGCTCAGCAGGTCTGGCAGCATCTGTGAAGAAAAAAATCAGAGTTTGTCTGATTTCTGAGGAAGGAAATTCTGAGGGGGGAAAACGTTCTGAGGAAGGGTTACCGGACCTGAAACGTTAACTCTGATTTTTTTTTTCTTCACAGATGCCGCCAGACCTGCTGATCTTTTCCAGCAACTTTGTTTTGTCCCTCATTATCCTACATGCCTCATTTAAGTTTCTCTTCAACTGCTCCATTTCGAAGAAAACAACCCCCATCAATCCAATCTTCTTTTATAGTTAAAATGCTTCAGTCCTGCTAACATTATTGTAAATCCCTCGTGTCCTTTGCTAGTATGCAATCACATCCTTCCTGTAATGCAATTACCATCACTGTAAGCAGTATTCCAGCTGAAACATGACTGGTGCTTTATACACTAAGGCACTAGTTCCCTAATCTAACTTCATCTATTTAGGGAAAGAATCCTGAATGCCTCCTTTAACACCTTGTTAACCCTTCTTTATTTTCTAGGGGCTCTACAGACATGCACTCTAAAGTTCTTCTGTTCTTCAGTATTCTAGCATTTACTGTTTATTTCCTTGCCTTGTTTTCCCTTCTAAAAATGCATTACTCATTTCTTTGGATTCAAATTCCAATTCAATGCCCACCTAACCTATCTATTGATATTGGCTTGCAGTCTAAAGCTTTTCTCCTCATTTATCAACCAGATGGCCAAAATTCTTCTCAGATCCACTAACTTCTTAACCTGCCCCTACATTCAAATCTAGATCATTAACATGCAAGACAAAAGAACTTTGTACTGAGCCCCAATTATCTTTGCTATCTCTGTCACTGAGCCAATTTTGGATTCAACTGTTACTTCCCTTGGATGCCATAGGCATTTACTATTCTGTCAAGTCTACCAAATTGGGTCGAATGAAAAGCATTGCTAAAATCCATAAGACCAAATCAAATGAGCTTGATGCTTCTTCAAAAACCTAATTCAACTGAGTCAAACATAACTAAATCTTAACAAATTTGTGGTAACAGTCTTTGATACATCTATACCTTTCTAAATTTGATTATTAGGAATTTATTTTCTGAAGGACCGTTATAATTTGCTCAAGATTGAGGTTCATAGCGGCCTGTAATTACTTGGTATTTATCTTTATGCAATTTTTTTTAAAAGCAATAATGTTAACAATCCTTTTGGACCACACCTGTAGCCAGGGAAGGTTTAAATCATGTCCAGAGCGTCTGTTGTTTCTTTTCTTGTTTCCCTAGTGGCCTTGGAAACATTTCCTCTAGGATTGGTGATTTATTTACTTTCATGAATGGTAGATCCTTTAATTTTTTTTGCTCACTTTGTTTATCCTATCCAGAGTTTTGCACACCTCTAACTATTTCTGCATCATCCCTCTGTTTTGTGATGACACCTGCAAAGTATTAATTAAGAAACACGCCCACGTCTTGCAGGTTTTTGTATGGTTAGGTATTGGTAAGTGTTGACATTCAAGGTGACCTTTGTTCACAAATTACTGAAGCTCACATTTAGGTGTAGCAAAAATTAAGAAAGCAAATGGTATATTAACCTTTTTTAATCTCAAGACAATGAGTACGTGTGCAATAAAGGTACCTTGTTGTAATTATATAGAGTCTTGCTGAGACCACACCCTATGTACTGTATAAAGTTTTTTTTATCTCATTACCTAACAAATACACATTAGAGGAAGTGCAACAGAGGTTCACTAGTTTAATTCCTGGGATGCCAGGACTGCCCTAAGAGAAGATTGAGGAGACTTGTGCCAGTATTGTCTGGAGTTTTGAAAAATGAGAAGTTGTCTCATTAAAACTTACTTAGTTCTTAACAGGGATAGATAGGCTAGATGCAAGAAGTATGTTTCCCTGGCTTGGGGACTTGCTGGTGACCCAAGCATCAGTAGGAGAGTAAATTATGAAGAGGACATAGAGAGTCTGCAAAAGTACATGGAAAGGTTAAATCAGTGGGCAAAAATTTGGCAGGTGAGGAATATAATGTGGGAAAATGTCAACTTATCTATTTTGGCAGGAAGAATAGAAAAGCATAAGATGATTTAAATGGCAAGATCATGTAGAACTTGATGTATAGAGAAATCTTGGTGTCATGTGAATGATTTTATTTTATTGTCACATCTCACAGTAAAAAGTGTTTTGTCACCATAATCCAGCACCATTTTGGGGTACAGTAAGAATAAAAAGAAATTACTTAAATTAGAGTCCATCTTCTGTCCAAATTGGGGTTTCAAGCACAGTTTCAGGTATTCCAGTGACTTAGTGTCAAGAGGGTGTCTTGATGCACGAATCACAACAGGCTAGTACGTAGGCAAAGCAAGTGATTAGAATGGCAGACAGAGTGCTGTTGTTTAGTGTAAGGGGGTTGGAATGTAAGAGCAGGAAAGATTTCCTATACTTATACAGGGCATTGACAAGATCACATTTGGAGTACTGTGTACAATTTTGGTTTCCTTATTTAAGAAGGGGTATAATTCCATTAGAAGCAATGCAGAGGTTCACCTGGCTAATTTCTAGGATGAACAGGTTATGAGGGAAGGTTGGACACGTTGGGCCTATATTCACTGGCGTTTAGACGAATGAAAGGTGATCTGATTGAAAAGTGTAAGATGACGAAGGACCATGACAGGTACAGAAAGAATCTTTCTCTTGCGGAAGAGACTAGAGCAAGGAGGCACAATTTTAAAATAAGGGGTGTCCTGCTTAAGGTGGATAAGGAGAATATCTCTTGAAGTTGTTAGTCTATGGAATTTGTTTTCCAAGGGAGCAGTGGAGGCAATCAGCCACCTATCTGCTATACCCTCTCTCTCTCTCCCTTGTCAGAGTTGAGGCTATAATCAAATGATCTTATGACCTTTAAAAGATCTATGATCTTTTCAATCGGTCTAAATTCTTAACAGGGATAGATGCAGGAAGCTTGTTTTCATGGGTTGGGTGCCTAGAACCAGGGACATAGTCTCAGAATTCATATGTCTATTTGCATTCTTGCTTTGCCAATGATCACAAAATCTGGCCTTTTTTTCTGATGTAACTGAATTGCTTCTGTAACTCATACTGCAGAGAATTACAAGTCCTTCAGACATTGTCTAATTGCAGTCTCAAAGTTGTTATCTTCTTGGCTTTTCTTGCATTGGTTGTACAGTTCTGAGTCTTTCTATCAGCTGTCTGATCATTATTGGTTCCTCACCTGGCTATCCACACCTAAGCAGAGAAGCATGAAGAAGAACAATGAAGCCCACATCGGTGCAAGGGGCATGGTGACAAACGCTTCTGGGTAAACAACGTACACCAGTCCTGGGCCTGAGTAAGGGAATGAGACAATCAGAAGATATTAGAAAAATGTACAACAGATATTAACCAATATATGACTACTAGCTCTTCTGATATTCCTCATTTCAGCCCCAAAATGAGCTGGTTCAACAAAGAAAGCAAGTCTGTGCTGCTCTGGAGTCAACTGGGTAAAAGGAGGACAGCAACTCCATGGGTTTTCCTCAGAGTTAGTTGTTCAGGTTGAATTGACATACAAATGCTAACCACACTGTCAATGTCTTGGACTGCATCCAAGTGATTAAACATTTCCTAGTTTATGGACCTTTTTTGTTAAAACTATCATTTGAAGGCTTTCTTTTTACATCATTCAGGAAATGGCACAAATCACCAATTAACTACTGCTGTATAAAGCATATTTTACTTTAACGCACTTCTAATTGGATCAGAAGAATGGGAATAATTGCAATTTCAGTGCTCACTAGGGAGCTTCACTGAGTGTTTAAAGGGTGTACCCAAATGCCCTAGATTGCTGAAAAGGAAACCTACCATCAGTGGCGATGTCTTCAACAGGCAGGTTATACTGGTGGCTCATGTATCCAATTGCAGAGAAAACTACAAATCCTGCAAAAATACTTGTAGCTGAGTTTGTTACTGCAACAATGAGTGTATCTCTGAGAAAAGGGAAAAACCATAAAGATTTGTAAATATTACAGTTTGAAAATCTTCACTTAAACAATAATTTGATATCCAGTTCCAGAATAAATGTGCTAACCCCGTTCTGCATGATTGGCATATTTTCAAGTCACAGGGTTGGTATACACAAATTTGGGCAAGTGTAATTAGGCCTTAGGTTAGGACATAATTTCAGGGAGGAAAAACAGAATATGAATTGATACTTCATGACTGGGGAAAAATATAGATTTTGGTTCAAAATATTCCCTTTTATCCTTCCTCTCCTTAAAGTAAGGGAGAAATTCATTTGGACACTTCAACAAAATGTCGATTTTAAACAGAACATTTATTCATCAAATGATGTTGAAATATTAATAAATGTGATTTTAAGGGAGTAAGAAACTTTTGCTCCAGATCCAAATTACTGATTTTTGAGGTTGACAACATACCTAGTTGTACTATATACATCACAGAAGATGCCCATAGCCTATGCCCCTACAGTCAGCAAGCTAAACATATCAAAAATTTTATCACTGAATCCTAAGAACTTCAATTTATGTAACAGCTTTCAGGACATCCCAAAACACTTAAGAATCCAAATGTTTCAAATTTAATTAGGTTTAAGGGGTAAATGATGAGAGGATGATCTCCCTTGTGGGAGAGACTAAGACCAGAGGGCACAGTCTCAAAATAAATGGGTGCCATTTAAGACTTGGATGAGGAGGAATCTCTTGGATGTTTGCGAGTCTTTGGAACTCCTTGCCACAGAGAGTTGTGGTACAGAGACCTTGTATTTGTTTACGATAAATAGATTCTTGATCAGTAAGAGAATTAAGAGTTGTGGGGAAAGTGCAGGAAAGTGGTTGTGAAGAATGTCAGATTAGCCACAATCCTATTGAATGCCTGAGGAGGCTGAACGGCCTGGTTGTGTTCCTACTACTTATGGTTTTTTGGTCTTGAGTACATTTTGAAGGGTGTCCCTGTTGTAATGTTGGGGTGAGAAATGGGGGAAATGTGGGGTGAAACAGCAGTCCCAAGATTCAAATTATTGCAAAGAATAATCTCTAGTATGAATTTTGAGGGGAAAACTAGAATTTCATTGTGGGAGCTGCATCTCATGAAGAATATACTGACCTGAAAGGCTTGCAGCATAGATTCACCCAAACACCACGAGGGCTGAAATAGTTAAATTGAGGACAGATGGTCCAGGCTGTGTTTGTATTCCCCAGAGTATAAAAGATGAAGGATTTCCTCAGGGTAATGTCCAACTTTTTCAGCTGCTTCAATGGCCTTCCATAGATTCTCACAGTACAGAAAAGACCCTTCAGCCCATCAAGTCTGCACCAACGTAACTGCCACTAAAAGTGCACAAATCCCAATGTCCTGCACTTGTCCCATATCCTTAGATATTATGATATTTGAAGCAGTCCTCCAATTTTTTTTTAAAAGGTCGTAAGGTTTCTGGCCTCCACCACCTTCCCAGGCAGTGCATTCCAGATTCCCACCACTTGCTGAGTGAGAAAGTTTATTCCCAAATCCCCTCTGAATCTCCTGCTCCTTACCCTAAAACTATGCCCTCCTGCGATTGACCCCTCAACCAAGGGAACAGTTGCTCTCTATTCACCCTGTCCACACCTCTCATTATCTTTGACACCTCAATCATGTCCCCCCTCATCATCTCTGCTCTAAAGAAAACAATCCAAGCCTATCTAGTCTCTCCTTTTATGGCTCAATATTTCCACCTCAGGCAACATCCTGGTGAACCTTCTCTGTACCCCCTCTAGGGCTATCACATCCTTCCTGTAGTGAGGTGCCAGAAATGCACACAGTTCTCCAGCTGTGGCCTGACCAACACTCTATAAATCCAACATTACCTCCTTGCTCTTGTACTCTGTGCCACGACTGATGAAAGCAAGTGTCCTATATGCTGCCTAAACTAGCCTAGTAACGTGTTCTGCTGACTTCAGGAATCTGTGAATAATTACCCCAAGATCCCTCTGTTCCTCTAAGCTACCTAGTGTCCTGCAATTCATTTTAAATACTCCCTCATCTTGTTTCTTCTTCCAAAGTGTATCACCTCGCACTTATTAGGGTTAAATACCATCTGCCACTAGTCTGCCCATCTGATCAACTCATCTATATTACCTGCAACCATCTTTTTTGCTGTTAACTGCTCTATCAATCTTGGTGTTGCCTGCTAATTCGCTTAACATCCTCCTCACATTTTCATCTATATCATTTTGTGTATATAACAAACAATAATGGTCCCAGTACTGATCCTTGTGGCACACCAGCCTCCAGTCATTCGAACAACTTTCCAACTGTACCCTTTGTGCCCTATTAATAAGCCAGTTTCTGATCCATCTCACCAAGTTTCCCTCTAATTCCATATGCCTAACCTTCTCAATCAGTTTCCCAAGTGGGACCTTGTCAAAAGCTTTGCTAAAATCCATATAAACTACATCAACTGAACCTCCCTCATCCACATACTTGGTCACATTTTCAAAAAATTCTAACAAATTCCTCTGTCAGAGGGAAGTCATGCCTAAGTCATGCTGACTATGCCTAATTAACGTATGCCTTTCCAAGTGGGTATTAAATTGCTCCTTCAGAATTTTCTCCAATAGTTTCCCTATCACTGATGTGAGACTCAGCAGGCTTGGGCTGACAAGTGGCAAAGTTAACATTCATGCCACACAAATGCCAGGCAATAACCGTGTCCACTAAAAGACCGTGTCAGCTAACCACTGACCATTAACATTCAGTGGTGTTACCATCACTGAATCCTCCACTATCAACATCCTTGGGGTTACCATTGACCAGAAACCCTACTGGACTCACCATATAGATAAAGTGGCTACAACAGCAGGTCAGATGCTAGGAATACTGCAGCGAGTAATTCACCTCCTAACTCCCCAAAGCCTGTCCACCATCTACACGGTACATGTCAGCAGTGTGATAGAATACTCCCCACTTGGCTGGATGGTTGCAGCTCCAATAACACTAAGAAGCTTGACACCATCCAGGACAAAACAGCCCAGTTGATTGGAACTGCATCCAGAAGCATCCATTCCCTCCAACACCAACGCTCAGTAGCAACAGTGAAAGTGCACTGCAGAAATTGACCCAGGCCCCTTAGACAGCACCTTACAACCCACAATCATTTCCATCTACAAAGACAAGGGCAGCAAATATATGGAAACACAACCAAATGAAAATTCCCTTCATCCTGCCTTGGAAATTTATCACTGTTGCTGGGTCAAAATCCTGGAATTTCCTCCGGAAGGAAATTGTGGGTCAGCCTACAGCATGTGGACTACAGTGTTTCAAGAAGACCACTCATCACCACTTTCTCAAAGGCAGCTAGAGACAGGCAATGAAAGCTGGCCAGCCAACATCACCCAGTGGGTGAAATTTTTAAAAAAAAGTTACTAAGTTGATTGAAAATCTGAGGTAGATAGAGAAACTATTTACTCTTGCGTGGAAATCCAGAACAATGGAACATAATCTTAAAATTGTACTTAGGCTGTTTAGAAGGTGATGTCTGGAAGCACATCTTCATACAAAGGGTCAAATTTAATTTGATTTAAAACATAACTGAATCCAGAATCCTTTTTTTGTCAAGAAGAAAATCTGATTTGAAAAATTAGAAACACCTGGCTCATTTTTTAAAATTCAGATTGGAGGTAGAGTTACTTTAAATCTCAGTAGTCATTAACTACTTGGTCCAAGCAATCATTGTTTATGCTATTCTTTCATGAGATGACAGCATTGCTGAAAGGACCAGTATTTGTTGCTTATCTCTTATGCACTTTTGTAAATTCCACATAAACATGAAACTTAAAGGTTGCTTTTCCCTCCATGTTGTTGTGTAATGAGGTCTGACAGTGTCACCCAATCCAGGCCCCTCAGTATCCTAAATGGGCGTGTGGAATGCGCTACCGGCAGTGGTAGTGGAGTCAGCTACCTTTAGAGACTTTTAAGCGACTCTTGGATAGGCACACTGGAGGATAGTAAAATGTAGGGTATGCAGGATAGATTGATCTTAGTAGGATAATAGGTCGGCACAACATCGTGGGCCGAAGGGCCTGTACTGTGCTGTAGTGTTCTATGTTCTATGCTCGCAACTCTCAATGCTTTCCTTCTTCAAAACTAAGGCAGAAATTAAACTCTTACTTGAGTACGTTGTTATTGAATTTGTTGTAACTGGCCATAGATATCATGGTGCCAAAGCCGATTCCAATGGAGTTAAAAATCTGTGCAGCAGCATTCACCCATACCTATAAGAATTCACAAGTTTGAAATTAAGACATTCAAAAGACTCACTTGCCTTGTAATCTGCAGAAATTATGCATATGTCACAAATCACTAGCAAAATACTTTGGATGTTGGAAATACACTGCCATAACTATGCACAGCATTGGTGAGACTGCATGAATACACTACATACAGTGTATTACACTACATACATCTTTGGAATTCTTTACTTAACAGAGCAGTGGATTCAGGGTCACTGAATATATTTAAGTCCAAGTTAGACAGATTTTTGGTCAACAAAGGTGTGAAAAACAGGCAAAAAAGTGGACTTGAAACAATGATCAAGATTAGCCATGCTGATTCTAAGCAATGGGCATGCTTGAAAAAGCCAAATAGCCTACTTATGCTCCTATTTCTTATGTTCTCATAGTTCAGGCAACATCTGTGGGGAGAGACAGAAACAGTTTAGTGATTCAGGCTGATGACATTTTGTGAGATCATCATTACCTTTTAAACCTTAACTTTGATTCTCTCTTCCCACACAGCTGCTGCATGACTTGCTGAGCAGTTTCACTGAAAGGTCACAAATCCATCTCTGTTCAGAGACAAATTTCATTTTCCATTGCTTTAATTCACAGGAATTAGTGCCTATGGTATCCAAATTAGAATTTTGGGCTATTCTATAGGAAATAATTTACATTTGTTTGTACCTTGGCTCGTTTATTTTACTATTTTTCTACTGAGTTCTTTATTTCACAATTGGTTGTTTCTGATCCTTCAAGTTCTTTTTTTCCTCACTCAGAAAATGAGGCAAACTTTCAGAAAGTGCTGTCATTGATGGCGACAATCAATCTAAAGGTTCTTTTAGCAAATATGCAGCAATATATTCAGCAATGTTACTTTACCAAATCTCATGCCTGGGTATTTTCCCCTATCAGTTTCACAAAGATTCTCAACCAACTGAACCATGGGTACAACCTCATTTTTCTTTTTGGGGAGGGTTCTAAGGAAATAATTTTCTTAAGCGATATGCAGCAAAAGTTTCAGATTTATTCATATTTTCAAAAGGTATGGGTTCTCTGATCTTCTGTTTTTCACTCCATAATTATCAAGAACATTGTCTGTATGCTAGTGGCTAACAACATTTAACATGCGTCATAATACTTAGTGATCATAATGTTCCTGGTCTTTATTTTGTTACTGCATTGAGGATTTTTTTTTTTTTTTTATTCATTAACAGGATGAGGGCATTGCTGGCTAAGCAGCATTTATTGCCCATCCTTTATTGCCAGTTCAGAGTCAACCACATTGTGGGTCTGGAGTCACATGTAGGCCAGTCCAGGTAAGGATGGCATTTTCCTTCCCTAAAGGACATTAGTGAACCAGATGGGTTTTTCCAACAATGGACAATGGATTCACAGTCATCATCAGATCCTTAATTCCAGATATTATTGAATTCAAATTCCACCAACTGCCGTGGCGGGAGTCAAACTCGGGTCCCCAGAATGTTATATGGGTCTCTGGAATAACAGTCCGGTGATAATACCACTTATCCAAATGTCTTTTAAAATGTTGCAACTGTACCGGCATCTACCATTTCCTCTGACATGTCATTCCATATATGAACCACTCCGTGTGGAAAAAGTTGACTCTCAGGGCCTTTTTTGTAAACCTTTTTCTCCTCTCGCTCCTTTCAAAATATGCCCCCTAGTTTTGAACTACCCCCCCCCCAGCGAAAAGACCCTTGCTATTCACCTTATCTATGCCCCTCCTGATTTTATAAACCTCTATAAGGTTACCCCTCAACCTCCTACGCTCCAGTGAAAATTTTTTTATTAATATTTGATAGATTTTAAATAGAACAATATAACATTCTTTTAATATTGGAATAAAATTCTCACAGACTTTTCCCCTCTTAAAAAGGCACAGCTCCAAGTATGATCAAAATCAAAGTTAATCAAAATTTTAAATTAGCTTGTATAGTGATCAGCGCTGTTCAGTCAGGATGACAGCATTATAGCATTTGCTTTCTTTTGCTTTTACATAATCTAATTTTCCAGAACACTCAACTCACTTTATTCAAATCCCTTTTAATAAATCCAGACTTTTACTGAAGTATTGTTGCTATCATTTTAACGATGGAGACATGGTCCAAATCAGATTAGAAACTACTTCTCCCTATTTCTCTATGGAAAATAATGTTAAATTGTAAACTTCTTCAAATAGATGGAGATGGGTGTCCATCTACTTTAGATATTAATATACACAAAAAAATTTAGCTTTTACTTCAAAATGACAGCAAGTAACTGGATAGCTGCCCTTAATGCTTACACCTTCTCACCACCCTCGGAACCCACACAAAACACAGAAACTGTCCTCTCCATTACCTGGACTTCCAGTAGCTTGTTCCATATGGGTGTGAGGAAGAAGAGGATTCCAGCCTTGGCACCTGGTAGTTGCACATTATTGATCAGAAGTATTATCAAGATGAGGTATGGAAAAATGGCTGTAAAATACACCACCTGGGAAGGCAGAGTAAGAGTTTAATGGTGTAGAAATAAGTTCCAAAATAAGATTAGATTCCCATTTTAAACAGATGGAAACACTCAGCTTCTTAGTGTTTTTGCTGAATTAGTTCTCACCAATTTTCAAGATTCAGGTGCCATTACAATGTTTTTTGATTTATCCATTACCATCAATCGATGCCAATGATCTTTCCCCTACATCCAGAACTACTAATTGTCACTCTTCCAAACAGTAGGTGGCAACTGACAGTCAGCTGCAATTCCCCAGAAGAGTGAGAGAGGAGAAAAATCTTAATTTCCTCTCCCAGTGGATGAGTTTGGGTAAAAGCACACCCAGGCTTTGGGTCCAATTCTCAGTCTGAGCTGATTCATCTGCTTGTTTTTAATGTAGCAACAGGAGAAGGCACCTCTGAATCTGTGCACCAGTAGCAGCAAGGCATGGCAACCAATGTTATTGCTTCCAAATGTCTCCTTCCATCCCAGCATGAAAGATCTTCAGATATGGGCGAGTAACCTTTGTTACAATGCAAGGCATTTCTCTGATATCAGGAAAAATTCCAAGAATTGCAGGGGAAGGATAACATGTTGGGGTTAAATACTTTACGCAGAATTGTAGAACATTCATTAGTTGAAAGCTCAGGACAATAATCTCTGTCCTCTGGCTGATAATTATCTTTTCTGCTACCATGTGCATCCCTGGGACAGGGTATCCCTGCAGGGATTTTTGCTAATGCTGTTGAGTAGGTTTAAATTAACTTATCAGGGAATGTGAACTGGGAGGTAACTCAAACTAGAAAGAAGTGAAGTTGGTAACAAGAAATCAAAAGACACAAGGTAAACCAAAAGTTAGAAGCAAAGTTACGCATTGAGTATGCCTCCAAAAGCAGAATGATATAAAACCAACGAAGTTGAGTGCATACCACCTGAATGCATACAGCATTCATGACAAGTTAGATGATCTAAAGTCACAAATTGAGATAAATGGATACAATCTAATTGCCATTACAAAAACAAGGCTGCATAGTGACCTGGACTGGGAACAGAATATTCAAAGATATGACCATTATGAAAGAGGTTGTCAATTGGATACAAAATTGACTTGACCGTAGGAGACTGAAGGTGGTGGTGATGGGTTGTTTCTCGAGCTGGAGGCCTGTGACCAGTGTTGTTCTACAGGGATTGATGTTGGGTCTATTGTTGTTTGTCATTTGTACAAAAGATCTGGATGAGAATTTAGAAGGCATAGTTAGTAAGTTTGCAGATGAAACAAAAATTGGTGGTATAGTCAACAGTGAAGAAGGTTATCTAAGATTACAAAGGCATCTGGAACAATTGGGCCAATGGGCTGAGCAGCAACAGATGGAATTTAATTTGGATAAATGTGAGGTATTGCATTTTGGTAAAGCAAGCAGAGGCTGGACTTATACAGTTAATGTTAGGCACCTAGGTAGTGCTGTTGAACAGAAAGACCTAGGGGTTCAGGTACACAGTTCTTTGAAAGTTGTGTCACAGGTAGACAGGGTGGTTAAGAAGGCGTTAGGCATGCTGGCCTTCAATGCTCAGACTATTGATATAGGAATTGGGTCATGTTGCGGTTGTACAGTATGTTTTGTAAGGTCTCTTCTGGAGTATTGTCTACAGTTCTTGTTACCCTGCTATAGGAAGGACATTGTTAATTTGGAGATGGTTCATAAAAAATTACCAGGAATTTTCCAGGACTGGAGTGTTTGAGTTACAGGGAGAGTCTGCATTGGCTGGGAGGTTAAGGGGTGACCTTGTAGTGGTTTATAAAATCATGAGGGGCATAGATAAGGTGGATAATAAAGGTCTTTTCCCTGGGGTGGGGGCGTTCAAATCTAGAGGACATATTTTTAAGGTGAGAGGAGGAAGATTTAAAAGGGACCAAGGGACAACTTTTTTCACACAGTGGTTCATGTATGGAATGAAATGTCAGAGGAAGTGGTAGATTCAGGTACAGTTAGAACATTTTAAAAGACATTTGGACACGGGTACGTGAATAGGAAATGTTTAGAGAGATATGAGCCAAACATAGCAAGTGGGACCAGTTTAGTTCAGGAAACTTGATTGGCATGGATGAGTTGGACTGAAGGGTCTGTTTCCGTACTGTATGACTCGGTGATTCTATGACCGAGGGGATTAAAAAGCTAAAATGCTGAGCATGCTGGAAATCTGAAACAAACTCTAGAATGCTAGAGAAGCTCAGCAAGTCTGACAGTATCTGTGGAAAGAGAAACAGATTTAATGTTTCAAGTCCAGTATGACTCTTCTTCAGAATGCAGGAAAGGAAATGGAGTTGCGTTGATAATAGGGGATGGGATCATCACATTAGTAAGGGAGGATCTTTGATCAGAAGAACAATATGTGGAATCTGTTTGGGTGCAGCTGAGTAACAGCAAGTAGAGGAGATATTCATTGTAGTTATTTATAGGCCACCAAATTACAGTTGTAGTACATGAGATGAGAGAAATATGAATCATATGCAACAATAACCAGAGGTGATCTTAATCTGCACAAACTAAATCTGAGCATGAAACCTGTGGAGGAGCTTCTGGAGTGTATTAAGGATGATTTTCTACAGCAATATTTTGAGAAGCCAACAACAGGATGTACAATTTTAGATTTGGTATTATGTAATTGAAAAGTGCTAATTAACAATTCTTGTTGTAAAAGAACATTTACAGATGAGTGACCACAATATGACGACAGACTTTTATATTATGCTGGAAAGTTAGATAATTCATTCTGAAGCAAGGGTTTTAAATGTAAATAAGGGAAATTATGTACATATGAGGCACACATTGGGTGAGGTGGTTTGGGAAAATAAATTGAAAGCTATGACTTACATAGGCAATTATTAGTCTTTAAAAAACTATTGAATGACTTGCAGATATACATTCCTGCATGGATTAATGATTGACTAACAGACAGAAATTGGATAGGCTTAGTGAGTGGGCATGAGCATGTGGGAAAAAATGTGAGTTTATCTATTATGGTAGGAACAGAAGTACAGGATACTTCTTAAAGAGCAAGAGGTTTGAAAATCTAGATGTAAAAAGTAACCTAGGTATCCTTGTTGATATGTCATTGAAGGCTAACATGCAGGTGCAGCAACTATTAGAAGGCTAATGGAATGTTAACCTTTATTGCAAGAGGATTTGAGTACAGGAGCAGTGAAGTCTTGCTTCAACACTATAAAGCTTGGTTAGACTGCACCTGAAGCATTGTGGACACTGTCATTTTCTTTATCTTGTGTTAAAGGGAGAGCAACAAAGGTTATTCCTGGCACAGTGTGACTGACCAATGAAGAGAGATCCAGCAAACCGGGTTTGTACGCTCTAGACTTTCAAAGCATGAGAAGTGATCTCATTGAAACTTACAATATACTTAAAAGGGATAGGCAGGGTAAGTGCAGGTAAGATATTTCCCCTGTTTGGAAAGACTAGATTCAGGGGGTACAAATTCAAAATAGGAAGGATGTCACTTAGGTCTGAGATTAAGAAAAAATTCTTTATTCAAAAGGTTTTGAATCCATGGGCTGTGGAATATCAACCTTTATTTAATATAGAGGTTAATAGATTTTTGACTCTGAATGGCATACAGAGTTATGGGGATGGGGTGGGTAAAATGCACTGAAGTGTTTGAATAGCCAACACTAATGCATAGTGGGGCAAATTTGACAGGCTCAATCACAATGCCTCTGTTAATATATTATGTACAGGGTGATAGTGAAAATCCTTCCTTTCCTCTCTCCCATCTGATGAGCGGAGAATGGAAAAAGCAGGAAAGAAAAGTGCAGCCTTATGAGGTAAACAAGTGGGGGGAAATTAAAACATTTCTTGTAACATTAGTGGATGCACATCTTCCTGCAGGAAACAAATTTCTTCTGGACTGTCCCACTAAGTTTTGTTTTAATCTACCTTCTGCAATCTCTTTATAAAATTGGAATAGAATGATTCCTACTGGGAAGTCTGCGTCCAAAGTCCACAGAATTGACTAAATTTGCAGTAAAACCTGACAGAACCTTCAGAATTAACTAAACTAATTAAATATCAGTTGTTAAGTAAAACCAACCTTCATTTTCAGCATATAACATTGCCTCCTAACGTAGCATCTACTTCAGGGACACTACTACACTGTTAATGCCAACATTTATTTTTCTGTACATTTTAAAAATAGGATGGCAAGTTGGCACAAACCACTACATCCAAATTAATCCCAGGCTCTTTTCAGGTATTAGAAGATTTGGCACTGTGTATAATATTTTATACAGTTTAGCTTTCCAAAGTAGGCAAAAATCAAAACTAGTCAAGCAAAATACTTGTCTGTGATGTTCCTCTAAGTACACATTTCCTAATTCTCACCTTTCCGGTTGATTTAACTCCTTTGAATATACAGAAATATACAATGATCCAAGCTAATAGGAGTAGACCAAACAATTCCCAGCGAATGCTGCCAATCTCTTCAATCCCTCTACTCATCTGCAACAACCTGTAACTGTACAAAAAAAGTAAATTTGCAGGCTTTATTTAAACCGCAGATTTTTTAGTTCTAGAATATTTCTCACTTTGATAATGAATTAGTACTCATGTAGGCAGACAACGGTCATACAGAAATGGCTGTCTGCCCATAATTCACCATGAAGTACCTTTCTTGATGGTGTTGACAGGGTACAAGCAAAGTTAAAGTTACACTCAGTCTACCCATTTCACATATTTAGAAGTAAAATCATTGAAGAGTCACAATGAATATCAGGGTACATGTGGAAAATGTCCAATGCGAAAGGAACTCATTAAGGATAATCTGGTGTTTGCCCAACTGCCTGGCTGAGTTTGGTAAATGGCATGAAGGGATCAGAATCATTTAAAACAAGAATCGCTGCAGTCCATTTCACACTGGAGTGTGTTTTACTCATTCACAAGATGTAGGGATCACTGACTAAGACACCGTTTATTGCCTGTCCCTAACTGCCCTCAAGGAGGTGGTGAGCTGCCTTTTTGAACCACTGCAGTTCATGAAGACTAAGTACACCCACAGTACTATTACTGAAGGAGTCACGGGATTCTGACCCAGTGACACTGAATGAACAGCAATGTAACTTCAAGTCAGGATGATGTGAGATTTGGGTTGGGAATCTGCAGCTGTTGGTGTTCCCATGTATTTAGTGTCCCTGTTCTTGTTGTGGGTAGAGGTTGCAGGTTGGGAAGGTACTGTTGTTGAGCCTTGGTGAGTCTTTATAGTGCATCCTGTAGATGGTAGACTCTGTGCATCACTGGGGCAGCATGGTGGCTCAGTGGTTAGCACTGCTGCCTCAATACCAGGGACCTGGGTTCAATTCCAGCCTCGGGCAACTGTCTGGGTGGAGTTTGCACGTTCACCCTGGGTCTGCGTGGGTTTGCTCCAGTTTTGTCCCACAGACCAAAGATGTCCAGGTTAGGTGGATTGGCTATGCTAAATTGCCCGTAGTGTCTAGGATAGGGGGTGGGTCCGGGTGGGAGGGTCGGTATAGACTCGCTGGGCCGAATTGCCTGTTTCCACACTGAAGGGATTCTATGATCACTGGTGAAGGGAATGAATGTCAATGATGTTAGACGGGGGCTAATTAAGGGAGCTGCTTTGTTCTGGTGTTGAGCTTTTTGAGTGTTGTTGGATTTGCACTCATCTAGATGAAGTTTTTTTTCTCCCCCAGGTGAAGGTTCACCTTTTGCATGGGTTCAGAGTTCATTATTGAGAACATTGAACTGCAATTTTCTACTTCTTTCATATATTAGCATGATATAGGTTGCAGCAAGGGATGACTGACTATTATACACCGTTAAGTACAGTAATGCTGTAACTGCAAGCAGTACTTGGACAAATTGCAGCTGGACACTAATGAACAAATTCCCTCATCTTCTTGTAGCCTAAAGCATACAATATTCACAGTTCAGAAAACATTTTACAGTCCTAACTTTTGAGTAATGGGTTGTGAATTCAAGTACAAAGCCAAAAACTTGAGCAGACAAATCTAGGCTGACTGACAGGATGTTGCAATGTCAAAGAGTTGTCTTTTGAATGAGCTATTGTACTGATGCCCTTTAGGCCCTCTCAAATAGACATAAAAGGCCGTTGCTACTATTTGAAAAACAGGAAGATAACTCTGTCCAATATCCTGGCCAAGATTTACCCCTCTATATCAATAAAAATAGACTTTTGTCATAATTATATTACTGTTTACATGAATTTCCTACGTATAAAGTATGGGTTGTGTTTCATTGCAACTGTGATGATATTCCAAAAGTTCTTCATTGTGTAAAGTGCTTTGGACATAATGAGGTAGGGAAAGGCACTATATAAATGCAAGTCTTTCTTTCAAGGGTCACGCCATATAAAACATTCAACAATACTGTCTGAGAGGACATTTTGCTGTTAGAACCGGCGTAAAAATTGTTACCGGTATCCCAGATTGTCTGAAATAATGAAAAATTGCAAAATGCAGCTGCATTGGTTTGCATTCTTAGCCTTCACTAGTGCTGATGCTTCAACAGTGATTTCAACTGAACTGGGTCCAGGAGCATGAGGAATATTACAACTTTCCTGTTTAGTTTTTAATTTTGTAACTGGATACCTTGCAAATCTTCAACATGCAAATGCCCTACAACTCCACTCTCCAGGCAGCCAGGGAATGATAAAGTTAGCATAAGATCTGTTGTCAGGAATCACCATCATATATACCTGTAATTGAGGCTAATGATTGAACAGCATAAATTTTTAGAGGTTAGGTCATTCTTGAACCTGACTGAATTGTTAATGACTAAAATAGTGCCTATGGATGTGATTTATATGAATGAGATAAACTCGTATTTTTTTAAAAAAATCCCTAACTAAAGCTGAAGCTCACGGAACAGGCAATATTGACCTGATTAGCAAAGTGTGGCAGGAGACAGAATATGTAATAGGCAGGTACTCTAACTGGCAGGGTGGGAGTTACTGTGTCCTGCGAGGATTTGTGTTGGGACTTAACTATTCATTGTATTTATTGATTAGGTGTTAGGATTGAGAGCCAGACATCTAAATTTGCCAATGACACAAAGGCAGGTACCAATGTAAACAACGTAAATAAAAGCATAAAGTTACCAATAAAATTAATAGATTCAGCAAATGGTAATTGGGAAAACTGTGCTAAATTGATTTGAGAGTACGAAACTGGTAGGTGGTCCACTTTGGACCTAAAAAGGATGGCACAGGATACTTTCCAAATGATGTAATATGACAAACAGTGTAGGTCCAAAGAAACTTGATGGGCCATGCACATTGACCATTAAAATATCATAATACACCTACAAAAGTGATTAAAAAGGCTATGTATCCAAGGCACTAACCTTAGTTGCAGGTTCAGCGAGATTTTAAAAAAAAAAGTTGTGGGAAAATGTCTGAACAGATATATGCCAAACATGACCTGTTTGGTATCCATAATCCAGACCATCAGAATTGCTCCTTCAGCAGGCCTACTGGTTCTTTAAATGGACCACACTATTGTGAGCTTAGAATTTTTTTCCCCAAATAAAATAGTTATGAACAATAAGGGAAGGGAATCTACTTTTCTTTTCAGTACATTCCCCTGCTGTACTCACTCAAAAAATTGTTGACTGGCAGATCGAAGGTGAGTGGCATTCCCAGGAAATCCATTAGTGCAATTCTCCACAATGTTCCATGTGTTATTACAGCTTTGCCAAGGAAGTGATGATCCAAATGAGTTGAACAGGTAGTATAGAGCCCAGGTGATAATAACATTGTAATAAGTACAGAGCAAGAATGAAATCACAACCGTTGCTGCGCCGACACCTGCACAGCACCAAAGAAAGGGCCATTAACCAAGAACTATACAATTATTACCTGTATGTTTAACTGACACAAAGTCAGTGTGAAGCTCCAAAACGAAACCTGGTTGATGGATGAAACATCAACAGTCAATCCTAATTAACCATTTGAGGACTGTAGCAGCAGTTCTACATCAAAATGTTGTAATGGGGAAAGCATTGTAGGAAATATAGTCTCCAAATAAAATAATCGATTTCTCTGTGGCATCCCCCGCTAATTTCCCCTTGAAAAAAGAGATAATGAAGGAATTAGGAAACATTTTTTTTGAAACCTTGAGTGGCTGTTCTTTGCAATGCTCAATTCAGTTATAGCCAAGGTGAATAGATAGGGTGGTTAGTCATAGACGCTTGAGTTGGGAGAAGGGCCAAGTGTTCTACCCCTACATTGAAAATTCACTGCTTAGGTCATTGGTACCTCGTGGGTATGAATGCTGCTCCAGTTCCATTGTGGATTCAGACCAATTCAGATCTTCTTTAGAAGATGAAATATTCATTGCATTATGCACAAATTTGGCTAAATCTAAAACATCCTACAACAGTTACCACCAATCATCGAAGACTCGGAATGACGGCTACCCCCAATTCATGGGTGCATTTCATTTCAACAAACTTGCCCTGAACAAGATTAGGTTCCTTCTTCAGATAGTTCAATTTGCAAAGTCAGCCAGAATAGAGTTGCAGCCTCAAGTTAATTCTTAAGATGTAGACATTGCTGGAAAGGCATACACTTATTGCCTATGCCCAGATGCCCTCCAGGTGAGATTTCTTTTTGAATTGCAACTGTGAGGTTCTAGTGCTCCATATTTTGACCCAGAAATGAAGAAGGAATGGAGATATCATCCTGACTTGGATACATATGTAACTTGGAGGGAATGTTTTCTTGTCCTACATCTACTGTCCTTGTTCTTATTGATGGAGGAAGGTGCTGCTGAAGTAGTGATTTGCTGCAGTACATTTTGTAGATAATATGGTGCAGTAAGACAGTGGTGAACAGCTAGATGAAGCTGAAAATGGCTTTTTCTTTCATGGTATTGAGTTTTGGATGTTTTCACAGCTGCACTCCTTCAATCAAGCAAGCGTTATTGGACTCAAAAACATTAGCTGTTTCTCTCTCTACAGATGCTGCCGGACCTGCTGAGTTTCTCCAGCACTTTGTTTTTATTTCATATTTCCAGCATCCACAATATTTTGCTTATATTCTATCGTACTCTTGATTTGTGCCTTTGGCTGATGGAGAGGCCTTTTAGAGTCATGAGATGAATTACACGGTATAAAATACCCAAACTTTGAGCTGTTGTAGTATTCACAGCATCTATGTGGCAGGTCCATTTGAGCTTTTGGTCAACAGTGGTACACAGATGTTAGTGAAGAGATACCTATCAATGTTAATACCATTGAATCGCAAAGCATACTTTGTCATTGTCTGTCACCTTTTTGGGGAAAACAAATATTTGCTGCCTACCAGCCTAAACCTGTATGTTGTCCAGGTCTGCTGCATGAACTGCTCCACTATCTGCTGGATGGTCAGGAACAATGAAATCAAACATCCTCACTTACAATGAAGGGATAAGCACTAATGAATCAGCTTTTCTATTTAGACCCAGAAGGTGCTTGGACAGTGAGCAAAAGACATTGCTGCAGCTGCTGTTTTTTTTCAAAAAGGTGTACCATCCTGCCCTTTTAAGAGACTAGAGACTATAAAATCTCCAAGTTTAACTCTTACATCCAAGTCTACCTGAGAGGAAATTACACCTGAATCAAAAAACAAGTGCATCTCTTGGAAGGAATCCTGCAGGAATCCTGATATTGAATTCCAACTATTTGAACTTTAACCTAAACAGAATTTAAGAATAGAAAATCATTCATAGCATTCAAAGATTGTTTTCCTAAAATGACCAAGTGAATTATGAACTATTCTTTGTTTACAGCTTGAAATGTTTATTTCATTTGCATGTAATGTTTTTCCTCAACAATCTGTGTGCTTGAACAGAATCAAAATGGTGAAAGAGAAATCACATTTGACAGATTTGCTAGAGTTCCTTGAGGATATAATAAGCAGAGTTGATAGATGGGAACTGGGTAGAAGTATTGTATTTAAATTTCCAGAAGGCATTCAACAAAGCATCACAAAAGGTTATTGAACAACACAGGAGCTCATAATGTTGGAGGCAATGCATTAAGATTAGTTTACACACAGATGACAGAGTTGGGATTAATGGGTCTTTTTCAGATATTAGACATGTAACTAGTGGAATATCACACGGATCAGTCCTAGGGCTTCAATTATTTACTATCTATAGATATTAGTTGGAAGAACGAACAGAGTATAATGTATACAAATCTGCTGATGATAAAGAACATAAGAAATTTCCAAGGGGATAGACAGGTTTAGTGAGTGGGCAAATACTTAGCAGATGGAGTTTAATGTAGGAATGTGCGAGATCATGCACTTTGGCAGGAAGATTCAGAAGTCAAACTATTTAAACGGACAGAAACTCAAAAAAGGTATCTAGGTGTTTTTGCGTATGCAGGTGCAGCAAATAATTAAAAAGGGGAATGTAATGTTGGCCTTTATTGCTAGAGGGTTGGAGAGGGAAAATCCTATTAGATGTGTACAGGCTGTTGGAGAAGCTGAACATGGAGTACTGTTTTGGTCACCGTATGTTTAAATTGACCACACAGAGGCTTAGAACACACGTAGCTTACCAAAAAAAAAAAACACCGATGTTTTGGACCTCACAAGCAAAGGTCTTCATCACCTCAGAAAAGATTATGCCTATTATATTCAGCTGATTATTGAGGGTCACTGAGTGACTTGAATTGACTGAAAATTGATATCCATGATGGTGGAACCCTCAGGAAATGGCAGAGGAGGCTAACTTACTCAGTACCTTTTGGCTGAAGGTGACTGCAAATTATATTTTGTTTGCATGTTGGGGTCTGCCAATATTAAGGACAACATATTCATGGCATCTCCTACTTCCATCAGTTGCTTAAATTTTCACCATTCACAGGTGGAATGTGGCAAGATTGCAGAGCTTTGACCTAACAGGTTAGTTGTGAGGTTACTCATTGCTGTTCATAGTCTGCTAAGTAGCAAAAATGACACAAATGTAGTCCTGTATTGTAGCTCCACCAAGTTGACACTTTACTTTAAGGAACAGGAGGTGCTGCTCTTGAATGCTTTTCTGTATTACCTTTGAACTAATGTTGCAATTTAGCTTCATGGTGTAGGAGTAGTGTAAGATATACTAAATCATGAAGTTACACATTATGGTGGCATAATATTATGTTGCTCTGCACAAATTAAGATGTTTGACCAGTTCTTAATACCACTCTGCAAGCAAGATATATTGCTACACAACATAATAAAGGGCACCCAATATGCAAATACAGGACTTGGTCTCCATGAGGACGTGTGGCTATCACTTTGCCAATGCTATCATGGGCAGAGACACCTACAAGAAGATAACTGTTATATCTTTGTTTATTTTCTCACAACATAACTACAAGTAAAATCTTGAAGCTATGTCCTTTTAAAATTTGACCAGTTCAGTTTGTGGAGATAGCACTGAGTCTTGGTAATGGATATTGAAATGTATCTCCAAATCTCCCATCATCCCCAAATTATATTCTGTGCCCTTGCTACCCTCAGTACTTTGTTAAGTAGAGCATTGATGATTTGACCATCAATACATGTGCATTCTCAAGCCTATAAAGTTGACATAGGATATCAGATGTTAGCTTAACAAAATCATGAATGTTTCATAGATTTCCATTAAGTTATTTTTTTTTGGTTAACTGGATATAAATTGCTTAAACATTTTGAAAATGCTACTGTGAATCATCTTGTGCAACATTTTCCTGTTCCAAGCATTGTTCCCCTGGTGTATTTCAGATGCCACATGTTCTGGCAGTTGATCTTTAGGCATTCTGTTAGACTGACAACATTTTACAAATTTTCAGCTCACCTTTTTGGGTAGCTTAGTATTCGTCAAAGTAGGTGAACATGATAAAAGTAAATTACTGCAGATGCTGGAATCTGCACTGAAAACAACAAATGCTGGAGATCACAGCAGGTCAGACAGCATCCATGGAGAGAGAGCAAGCTAACGGTGAGTCTATATGACTCTCATCAGAGCCTCTGAAGAATCATTTCGACTTGAAACATTAACTTGCTATCTCTCCATGGATGCTGTATGACCCAATGTGATCTCCAGCATTTGTTGTTTTCAGTTCACCTTTTTTCAGCTTTGATGTATCATTCCATCTATTGTGGACATATTATCTCAGTATCCAGAATCTAATGTCCTCATCTAATTTTCATTATCTTTGAGGCAAACTAAGTTGGAATGATTGTGTTTGGTCATGTAACAATTGTATAAGTAGTCCAGTTATTACATTAGTGCAAGGATGTTAGAACTAATGTCTTTGTAGATCTTGGATTTGATTGTCCATTTAATTCCATGATCTCTGATCATTCTAAAATCTGTGGTGCTCCTTGGTGAGATGAATGTCATGTGAGCCAGCACTTCCCAGATGAACCTATCCAATGCAATCAGTGTGTGCTAATTCATGCTGCTAATATTGAATGACACTTGGTTTTCAGGGCAGTTTTGTAGAAAATGGACATTTTCTTCAAGCTGATTGCCTCACCACACAGACAAATTTCTCATCCTTGGGAAATGGCCAATGGTGACAAAGCAGTCCTCGTCTGTGTGGGCAACAAGGGGAAAATTGAGTAACGAAGAGCTCCTGTACAAGCTCTTCTGGGATTTCAGTTTTGTGCTTCAGGTGTAAGGAATTGTACAGCTCTTTCGAGGGGGATGACGATGTCAAGTTGAAGTAGAGTGCTAGTTAACAGATTGGATTCCATGAAGTCTTGGATTAAGGTCAGATATGAACAAGGAAACAGAGTCAACCACCAGGAGCTTCTTCCTACTCAACTGCACATCACTATGTGGT